TTTTAATTCTTATATATTTAATTTATTTTAACTAGATATTGGATTTATTGTTGTCTAGTCAAATTAATGGAAAATCTGATGTTATTGATAAGCTTAATAGCTGTCTGTTTACATTAGGCGAAGTATGCATTCATAACTGATAATAAAGAATGCTTATAAATAATAATAAATGTATATTAGCTTTATAGTAATTTTGCTGAACCATATAGTCTATGGGAAGCTCAGTTGGCGATTTTACAACTTTCAAATCATGATGATCGTGAACTAGTCAATCAAATTTGGGAAAATATTTTATTAAAAGGTAAGCTTTAGTTATTAATATAAAACTTAAGTTAAAATAGTTATTTTTAGTTGACTTATATTAAAATCTTATCTAATTTTATATTAAAAACATGAATAAACTATATATATTAGTGTGCATTTATAGGTATTATAAGTAGAGGTCGGATTTTTATGATTTTACATATTTATTTCTAATGTTTGCAGTTTAATGGGAGTATGATATCATTACAATTCATAAAACATAGATTTCATTTAAAAAAATTTATTTTTGAAGATTTTATTTTCATAATATCAGCATAATGAACATATTTCATATTTATCGGCATTTCGATAATATTGATCAATAAATACAATATTCATTATACGAGTTATTTTTATATCCTTCCGAGTTTTAATAAAAATTAATTACCAGATATTTCTTATTGATAGCAATAGTAAACATTGATTATTTCGTTAGCTGTCACAACTATTCAATGATCCATCGCGGTGCATGTTGATATTGAGTATAATAGTTTATTGATTATAAATTATCTTTCCATTAGTTTCACCCTAACATACAAATAATATGCTAAAAAAATTTATTTATTTTTTTTTTAATATTTTGTATTTTTAATGACATAAAACATTATTTGTCTGTTATTTTTAAAGTATTAAAAATATATAAAAACATTAAAACATTATATTTTAAGGTTTTTAAGAGAATATAAATCCAACATTTAAAAATACATTTTGAGTATTTTGATTTGATGATAAAAGTACTTATCGGATTGAAAAATAAACACATTCATTCTTCCCTTTTAAATATGATAAAATCATAGTACTAGTTAATGTAGCTGAGTGTCACTAAAGCCTGGAGATGTAATAAATATTAATTAACTACCTATAATAAAAATAAAATTTTAGACCCTTTTAACAATACAGGTTAGATTAGGTTAATATATAATGCCTCAAAGATTAGATTATGTGACTACTGACTAGTATGATATTAACCTATATTAAATCTGAATTTAGTACACATAAATATTTATAACAATAAATGATACATTATAATACATTAGTACTCTATACATAACTTATACAATATACATATATGGTAGTAGTTTTTTATCTTGAAAATAATGTTATGTTGTTCAATTAATTGATTATTTCACATTTTTGTTTATTAGTTGTAGAAGATTGTGGAGATATTAGTGAACACAACAAAATGACCATTGTTCTAGAAAAAATAAAGTCATTAGCTAGTTCACATCCAATCAATTCATCTACATTTGACTTAGGTATGTAATATGTGTAGTGATTTGTCATCATTAAAATATACAAATAATAAAGTATGTGCTCCTATTATGATTTCTTTTTTGTATACATAGAGTATGTAACAACTATGTTGGAATATTTTAATTGTAACTTGGGCGGAGATTTAGAATCTGTATACACAACTATGTTAACTATTGGTGCTCCTATTGAATCTTTAGTGGCAATATATAAAAAGTAATAATTTTTATCTATTAAAAAATGTATCAATATACCTATAGTATAATCATTTGAAATAATTATATTTATCAACTTTTCGTGCAGGATTTATTCTACTAATGATCCACGGTGGCAAAAGACCAGTGAGCTGCATGTATTAGAAGTTATCATGAGCTTGGCTCGGTATTATTTACAAAATGTTGATCTATGGCCGTCAGGAATGCAAAGGTAATAGTTTTTATACATTTATAAAAATTAAGTAGTTCCTCTATTAAGTATAAATTTAAATCTTTTAGGAGATCCATTGCTGTGAACTTATTCGATCTATTAGTTATTTGTCAAAACATGCTTTACAGTCGTTTTGCACATAGTCCATTGATTGAAGGTGTCATTGCAATCAAAACTGAACTTGACAACATCATTAATAACTGACTTAATAAACCTGATTTGTAAAGATTCTTCATCTGTCAATTATTAATACATTATAAATACTATATTTGTTTTAAAATTTAAATGTAATATTTGTATGAATTTTAAACTATACTTAAAATTCATAATTAATTATTAATTTTTTTAAATATGTAGTATATTATGTTAACAGTTTTATTGTTTCAAAGATAACTAGGTATTTTACAAAAACAGTCTATTCAATTTTTTATTACTATGAATTGTGATTGTTATGATTAAGATAATGTAAGATTCCATATAAATAATACAACTAAAAAAATATTTTTATAGAAATATGTATTAAAATGTTTGGGGAAATTTATTAATTACTTTTTTTGTGTACAAGTATAATATACTTTTATTTTTACATTTATTGATATTGGTTTTCTTTTTTATCAATTTTTTCCTTTGTAAATTTATCATATAACAAATGTTAGTTCTTTGAAAAAATATTGCACTTAAACATTAATACATTAGTTTAACGTCTATTAAAAAACTAATTCTTGAATATTTAAAGAATATGTGATAATAAACCAAAAGAATAGATAAATTTTACAAAAATTACTAATTAAGCGGGTTTATACTTTATGTGATATAACAAACATATCTTTAAACTATCAAAGTTATATATTTTTGTATCATAAATGTAATAAAAATAGGCATAAACATTCATCATAGATTCAGTAAGAACATAGCTATATAAATATCTTAAGTACATAACCCTAATTCACAAATATTAATATTTCTTTACCAAAATATCTTTGAACAAATGTATGAGCATTTTGTATTGTCTTAGAAATTTTAACAGGTTACTGTATTTGCCAATGATATAGCTATAATGTTAATTTTATCATAAATTTAAAAACTATAAGCTAATTATCATTGTGTTTCTACTGGGATTGATATCAGTACACTATATAAAGGCATGTAAATTCCGTCGATTCGTTTTTTTATCTGAAAAAAAAATATAAATTCTACCGAAATAAAAAACATCTTCAGAGCAAAAATACTAATTTAAAGCAAATTCTAAGTTAATCACCTACTTCTGTTTTTTTTGTTTTATAGGTACCTACTTTTCCGTTTAACCAAATCTTTGGATTACTCTCCACCAACTTTGTGTTATATGAAATCTACAAGCTACAACCCATCAATTCCGAGTTTGACCAAATTGAAGTGAAATTCGTGTGTTTTCAGGTTAAAAATACGTATCGGTGGAATTTAAATGTTTTAAATTCAACCCTAAAATACCTGCAATAAATTGGTGGAATTTACAATCACCCATTTTTGTATAGGGTAAACAGCGATAGCGACTAAAGAGTGAAGAAAGCCTGTCACCAAATACTATAAATTTATAGTATTTGCTGTCACTTTGCGGCTTGCGCCCGTCGTAAGTAGTGGTCGATGTTATTCGTTTTTGGTGGCTTAGTATTATTACATGGAAGTGAAACAAAATTGAATAGATATGTAACTTATATAATTTTTATTTTTATTCTATGTTTTATTTTTTTAAATATTTTTATATATTTCTAAAATTATAACACTCATAGGTTGTTTAATTTTGTAACCTTGTGTCCTTGCCCCTTGGTTAAAGGGAGAAGACAAGATGACTTTCCAATGTGACTATTACTATTTAAATTCTGTTGAATAATATTTTATACATCTCAAGACTCTAATGAACTTTTTGAAATAATTTTAGGTAGGTAGGTATTTATTATATTAGAGTATAATATTAAAGTAACTCAAAATAATTATTTTTTACTTAGAATTTTGGAGGATTATATTTTTGAAGATACCTTGTTGTGTACGATCTTCACATTTTAAATTTTAACTATAGTAATGCAATAAGTAAACAAATTATAACTCAAGCACGTCTGTTAATGTATATTGATTTGTAGGGTTTGGATTTAAAGCCTTTAAGGTAATATAATTAATAAAAAAAATCTTTTAATTTATAAAAATAGCAATTACAAAATTCATTAAAAAATTAAATAGTTTGGAAATTGTATATTATTAAAAGAAAATTGTGGACTGACGAACAATTTGAATTTAGTATCTACACATTATAAACATATTTTAATCTATAGATAGGTACGTAATATAGATACTTTTATAAACGATAATATGACCCATTGAAAATAATTGACAAACGACCATGCACCGTCTTCAGAAAATCTTATCGACGTATGTCGTTAAGACGAATGTTGTGTATAAAATTATCAAATCCATTGAAAATCAAACAAAAAAAAAATATCATTTATAAATAAAAAATGTATTTATAAGTAAAACATACATCTATCGTCTTAAATATTAAATGACATTCATTTTTATATGAAAATTATTTTTCTATTATTATTATTAGAAAAAGGCACTTTCCTTCAAATCCGAACCCTATTAATTTGGCCTACAAATCCTAAATTTAGCTCTGTATCTATCACACATCAAGTTCAGATTTTTGATCCAAGATATTATACTAGAGGTACCTATATATCAATATACTTTATTAAAAGTTCAGTTATATTATAGTAAAAAAAACAAAATTTCATCACTTATGCTTATTATAAACTATTTTATAGATTGTATAATAAAAATATTTTATAACAAAAAAATTAATATATTATAGTAATTCAAATGTATAATTAATTATTCAAAAATGTGTACCTATTTTTGAGTTTGAATATGTTGATAGCACTGTGCACATATGATTTGACGTTATCTTATTAGTCCACCATTTTTTTCGGCTCCCGGTCATCCCCTCCATAGTTCCTATAACTTGACCGACTACATTCGTCGCAATACTGATAAGTAAATCGACTGCCCAACTCCCGACATCGGCCATCAGGCATCAGTTCTCGTGTTTTCAATCGAGTCCTGTAATCCTGTTTTCCTGTTTGTACGGTAATTTACTCCATTAAGAAAAGTAAGTACACAATAGTAAATGCCATTTTTAAAGAAAATAAGAACGACTACAATATCCTCCCTCATATTTCATTTTCCACTTCTGAAACTCCAATAACTTGGTATTAAAGACGTGATTTTATGCACTTGTCCGTTTCAGGATGGCACATGAAGAAGGAGATCCGGCCGAAATCGCAAAGTTGACCGGCGTCGGAAAATATTTCAACACTCTCACGACTAAAGGACGGGTTAACGTGAGTGCAAATTAAATTAATTTAAATTTTTGTAAACAACTCAATGACGATTCAAGGTCATAGGTTGATCTTTCAAAAGAATTTCTATTCTACTTTTTATGTAATAATTTAAACTTCACAATTACGATACACATATTTTAGTTATGTTTGTGGGTTATTTTCACTTGATATCTTCACAATGTTTTAGTAAAATTTTATAATGATAATACTGTAATGTCGGCAGTATTTTGTACTTCATTAAAAGATATATTTTGTTTTCGTAGCATTGCAATGAATAATATAAGTTCATTGATTTTGAAGGTAGCTTACTTAATAGTTAACATATTTTGACATATAGCTCATAATTTTACTTGAATACATTTTAAAATTTAAATTTTTTATAGTAATGATAAATATTTTAAAGTAGTTGGCATTTTAGCAAGTCCATGTTTTGATACAGAAAATTATTTCTTATACATATAATTATCCCAAAATTATCTTTAACAGTAATAAAAAAATTAGTTTATGATGTTAGTATAAAGGTAAAGAATAGAACTTTGACCATTAGGTAGTTTTGCAGTTCATCGAAAAGTTAATGGTAGTCTTATTCAAATACTATTTAGTATAATGTAGTGAAAATAATATTATTTTTGATCTGATAGCCTAAGAATTATAAAATTTATAAATAACCAAATTAATGAATTAATGATCACAACTAATTAAAATAAACATAACATTAAATATAGAGTACATAATAAACTGTAGGTACTATAACATGATAATTACATATAAGTAATATAATTATATAAACAAATTTTAAGTCATTAAAAATAAATTAAAAACAATTTGTATAAACTTAAATATTTAAAAAAATCAGTTCTTACTGCTTTGAAAGGTTATTCCTTGCAAGAAAGTGTTTATCAATTAAAACCAATATAGCGTTGGCCAATTTATATACAATGCCATTTTTCTATTATTGATAAAGTAGATATAATAAATTAATTTCACTACAACTTAACAAATCAAAATATAAATTAACATTTTATAATAATATATGTTTTATGTAGTGTCGTGATTTAATGTATATATTTTGTAAAAAATGTTATACTTAACTGTAGTTGAATAATATTACTGTAATACTAGTTACTGCTATACATATAAACATTTGTTAGCTCAAAATAATATACTATACAATTAATTATTCAATTAGTGTCATTATCAAAGTAGCTTATACATACTAAGATAGTCAAATTTATAAATATAATTAGTTTATTTAAACTATGTTATTTTAACATTTTACTTTTAATTGGGATCATATGTATTTAAATTTTATGATACAAGAGAACTATGTTATTTATTTATTCAGAGTCAAATTTATTTAGTATTATAATAACAAATTATTAAGAATTTAGTATTTTATTTAGGATGTTCATTAACTAAGTTTCTTAACCAACTAAATAATTTTAATAATTTAATATTAATAAGTAATCTTTATTGAATGTATAACATTCACAGTTTGAATGACAAATTAAGACAATTCACGAAACACAGAAGTTAACAAGAAAACCAATTTTTGCCATATTTAAGAATATTTAGCCTTAAACATCTTAGAATATGTAGTAAGAAAATTATTAATTTATTTTAATTTTCAATTATCATTATAATATTATATTAATTCTTGCAAAGGTTGATTTTGAAAGTTTTTGTTAATCACACTATTGCAATTGCATATTATGTTTTTATTTTTAAACATTTCTTATATATTTCTCATTATTATATTATTTTTAATGTAAATTGTATAATTATAAAGGCCATTTATTTGTCTTAAAATATAGGCAATATGTTTATAATGTACAATGTACTTAATTGAAATAACAAAAAGTAAACCAAGACATTATGTTTTTGTTATAGATTGTATGTGCGACCTATGGAACTATCGCTGTTGGATATCTATTATACAAATTGCGCAGCCCAAAAGCAGAAAAACCAAGTTCTTCGTCTTGAATACAATTTTTAATTAATTTTAGAAATGCTTTTTAGATTTAGGTTATATGTTTTGATTATTATTTAAGATATATTTCATATAAAAAGAATTATAATTAAGAAATAAAGGTACTGCAATGTTCTTTATTTATCGTGAAAATTTATATTGTATTCAGTTTACTTTAGACGATATATATAATTTACAACAAATTTATATACATGGTACAGATAACAGCAAAAAAAAAAAAATAGATCTATGATTTAATGATATTAACGTTCATCCATTTGTTTGTCTCTGGTTATAACATGGTCTTCAAATTTTACCATGTAAGTAGTACCTTTGTGCCAATGTGCGGTGACTTTAGCATTCTACAAAATAACAAAATTTAATAAAAAGAATAATTGTTTGATAAAGATCTAAAATTAATATACATATATAATATCTTGTTTACAAGAAACTAATTTGACTATACAAAAATTGATAAATAAAACAAAATAATTTTTGTTATATATATATTTATAATCAATTTTATATTAATTAGTATTTATAACATGAAATTACAAAACTGACATATGATCATATCGATTAAGGTTATCAACAAGATATTGGAAAATTAAAACTTACTAAATCTTATTTTAAAGGAAACAAAGTCTAAGGTGAAACTGTAGAAGAATTAATTTTCCCATGTTATTATTGAAGTTTGAACTAATAATCAAAGTTATGCCTAAGAGTACCATTAAATCAAAGTAAAATAAAAAAAATAATCCATGGTCAATCTGCGAGTTCAATAATATTAATTTCAACTAATGCATAAAAATATAGGAATAAGAAACAAAAATGTTTATATTCAACAAGCAAGGCATTTTTGTGTGTAATGTTACTGAAGATAAAAATATTTATATCTATTTGTTTATAAAAATGTAACATATTTATAAGTAATTAAATTTAATATTTTATGAAGAAAATATAAATGTACAGCAATCGCGTATCAAAAAATTGGCTAGCTGTCTAAATTGGACTATTATTCATATTTGTCAATTAGATAATAGAAACAGTAAATATAAATAATTGATACTTACAAAGCCCGATGAATTTAGTATTCCTTCAATTATGCCACCAACAAATACAGCACAGTTCAAATTACCTTTATCTTTAGGAACTGAAATGAATTTATTTACTAATGGCTCTTTTTCAATTATATAATAGGTAGAATCATCATCATTTGAGTGTTCTAATTTGTCAGCTTCGCGGCCAAAGAAACTCTGAAATTTCAATAGTTATATGACCTAATTGTTTTTAAAAACAAACTGAAGTCTGTACATGAATTAGAAGAATTACATTCAGTAGTGTATACATTTTAGTTAGAAAAAATTATTCTAACTCGTTCCAACTAATTTTAACAATGATAAAGGTATAAGTCTGGGCATGCACATTGTACATACATAATTTTCAATTCAATCAAATAATAAAATAAATGTTGAAATTGTAGATATCATACTTTCCAGAAGGTAGATTTAATAAATAACAGCATATTCAATAATTTTATCTCGCGTTTGCTGTTTTTTTCACGTAGAAAATGTAAATCTATTAATTTTGTACCAACTTCTTGTCCCAAGTCAGATAATCTAAATAAATTATATTACTCATAAATTAAATAATACATTTTAAGCTTAAATTTGTAAGTATCTACCTCATTTGTAATTCATTTACTGTATGAGCCTTTCCTTGACAATACTGTACTAGTTCAGAAAACATCAATGCAAAACAGTTCATGTTGATTTCACCTTTACCTTTGCTAATAGACTTATCTAGTATACTTGTTTTTTGTCTCATATTCGATATTTGAATTGGATTCATTTTATAAAATAGTTCTGAAAACCTATGCAATATAATTATTATAAAACAACAGTTACTTAATATTTATAATTTGGTTTACCTTATATCACAAATTTTTATGTAAATAACATGAAATTAATCGAAACTCTGAACGAATACGTGATTAAATAATATATTATAGGCTATAAAGTACATGATTTGATAAATAAGATTATCTTATTTTATATGACTTGATTTAATTGTAATTAAGAATTTTCGAATATTATTAAAACTAACAAATAACTATGATATAGACATTGTTTAATAGTTTTTAAATAAAATTCTAAATATTTAATTAATATAATTTTATACCATAAAAGTCTAAACTTTAAAGTTTGAAGACCCAAAACAAATTATATTCAAAGATTTCAAAGATATTCTAAATAAAAAATAGATAAGTTGAACTAAATTATTGGATAACACAATAGTTGATAAGCCACCAGACAGAGTTTATTTTATTGTTTACAGTTAACACACCGATTTAGTGTTTACGATTATATTTTGGCGGTGGTCTTTATTTTATAATTCATAGTTCATACATTAGTTGGGCTCTTTCATTATTAATTTGTGTATTGAATAGTACGTATGATAGTTTCACGCCAGAGTCGGAAGTGTGAATAGCCACTGTAAACCACAAAATGTTTTATCATGTAATTACAGAAAACACGTTGAGTGAATAGTTATATCATTTGTATGTTTTTTAATTTTTTTATTTAGATCGCACTAGAACACGACGTACTGCTTCATCCTCGGTATTTTGGTCCACAGTTATTAGACACAGTAAAACAAAAGTTGTATCGTGAGGTTGAAGGCACGTGTACTGGAAAGTGAGTAATTTTTAAACTGATATTTATTTATTGTACTCTCAGAAAAATAAAAAATGCATATTAAACCTAATAACTTCATACATTCATGAGATTAATCATCTCCAAACTTCCATAGTCTAACATGACTAAATTTTTTGTATTAAGAACCAAAAATATGTCTTATACAAAAAAATTTAAATGCGTAAAAGGTAATGTTTTATACCATAAAAGCTGGGCAAGATATATTTTTTGTAGTATCAAAAGGAGCAATACCACAAAATAGTACATTTATATTTTATATATCTTACAAATAACACAGTAATTTATATTTTTAATTTAATTGGTTCTTTATTTTCGAGGTATGGATTTGTTATTGCTGTAACTCATATTGATAATATTGGCTGTGGATTAATTTTGCCTGGTCAAGGATTTGTTGTATATACTGTTAAGTATAAAGCTATTGTTTTCCGGCCCTTTAAAGGTGAAGTTTTGGAAGCTGTAGTTACTCAATTAAACAAAGTAGGAATGTTTGCCGAAATTGGACCACTTTCCTGTTTTATATCTCATCATGTAAGTTATATATTGCTTAAAAATAATTATTTGATTCATGTATATGTATACTATATAACTATTATAACTATATCTCAAAGATTAAATAAAACCAAAATAACATAATTTATGTATGTATTATTATTTAATGATTATCATTAATACCTGTTGTTTTAAAATGTTTAATGACTGTTAAATAAAATATATCTTTATTTATTTGTTTTAGTCCATACCATCAGAGCTACAATTTTGTCCAAATACTTCACCTCCATGTTACAAATCAAAAGAAGAAGTATGTAATGTTCACTTGATTTATACATACTATTATATTGAATAATAATAAAAAATGTACATTTTATCTTAGAAATAGTTCTTGAAAAATATAGTTATACGATAATAACCATTAATGGCATACAGTCTGATAATTTTCATGTTTCTTCTGATATTTGTCAATGTGGTAACTTTTATTAGCTATATTTTTAAATCGTCTTCTAGAATTCTTGAGTTATTGTTAGTTCCTTATTTTTGCTGATGATATTAAGCTTTTTCTTACAAAGAGTTAAATAGTTAATTGTCTGAATCTCCAGAAAGATATCAACTCAGTGATTTTATGTGCAAATAAGTTGTAATATTCTTTCAATATCGTACATATGAATATGTCATATTCCTTCTAATAGCCTAATTAACAGAGTCAATATAGTTTCATCTAAGAATGAGGGTTGTTGATTTAGATTTTTTTTGTTTTTTGTTCAAAATAACTAATTTTTAATATAGATGCTCCAATATTATTTAACAATGTCAATTTTTTTGTTTGTCAAAACATTATTTAAGTTAAGTTTATTTAAAATTATTTTTAACTTATTTTGAAAATGGATCAACCTATTTATGTACTAATAAATAAATAAATAATATTTAAATCAACAAAAGAATTAAAAATCTACCTTTCCTAATAGAAAACACTTTTTATTTATCAAATTATTATTTAGTTTTATTTTTCCTATAAAGTTTATTACAATATTATTTATTTATGTTCTTAGAATATAGCAATACAGCCGGAAGACACAATTAGATTGAAAATTGTTGGAACACGTGTTGATGCATCAGGAATAGTATGTATTTTAAAATATTCAATACTTATTGTTAATTATTGTAATGCCATATTTCTTATTTATCTCATTGCATTTCAACTAAATTTCCTAGTATAATAATCCCCTTATTACTAGTGTATAAAATTTTTAGTCTAGTATTTGTAAGCATACTAATTTGTCATGATTATTACCGAGCCACTTCAATCGTTTGGTAACGTATTTTGTAATCTGCGGTGAAAATTCCTAAATTTTGTAGCATTATTTCTACTTATTTAAAAATTTAATTGTATAATGAAACATAGACCACGCCATTTCTTAATATTTCATTGATTTTATAGATAATGAAATAATCAAAATAAAAAGAATTTTAATGCATACAAATCCAAACCATACTTAGTTATAGATCAATCCATAAAAAAATATAGTTTGGTAATGGATAAAAAGTATTCTAATTTAAAAATTTAATTACTTAATTAACATGTTAAGCGCCATATGACTGCCAGTGGTCATCTGTAATTCTCAAATTTTATACATTTGTGATCTTCGTTCTCATAGTTCATCATTACTTATCATGTTACATGACCGTCGGTGACCATAAATGAATTAAGTTTAATATTATTAACTTTTCTATGGCACTACAATAATTCACCAAAATAAGAACCATGACGTAGCAGGAATTATTATAATTTTTTTTGATAGTGGTACCTATAATACATTTTTTTTAAATATTTAGTATAACAAATTTGGAAAACATTGAAAAATGTTTGGTGTATAATAAATACCTACCTATGGAATGACTGCTGGCGGTCATATTGCGGTTAACATGTTAAAAGCTTATAATTTTTTAGAAAAATATATTCAAATTAAATTGAAATGTCATTAATTATGAAACATTTTTTTTTTACAGTTTGCTATTGGTACATTGATGGATGACTATTTAGGTTGGTATAAAATATATTGTAAAAAATGGTACTTACAGTTACATTATTATTTACAACAATTTTTATTATTTCAGGATTAATTCATTAAGATAAGGATGCGTCAAATTTAATTTTTTTTTTTTTTTATTGTATATTGTACATAGTAATGTATAAATAAAATGAAAAGTAACATAAAATACATTTTTTTGTGTATATATAATTAGTTTCAAGTGTTTTTTAATCAAGGATGAGTTAGATTCCTTACTATTAGAAATCATGAATAATATTTATCAAATTTACTATCATAAACAAATGATTATGGTGATGGTTAGATTAAATATTCTAACAAAAAAAAATAATATTTTATTGTAAAATTAATAATATAAATAATTTGCTTGAAGTATTAAACAAAATTAACAAAACTAGACTTAAAGGAATACATTGTTTTTTATTACTCTTAAAATTTAATTTTTATTTACTGTAACTAATAGATGGTGTTGAATTTTAAACATCAAGCTCTAGTATTTAACCTAATATTTGAAAATCTAATCGTATTTCTGACTATGTTTTCTATCTAGTTCAAAAACTTATTTTAATTGATCTTTTAAAGCTTAATTTGGGAATTCTGAATATTCTTTTCGAATATGTAACCAGAAATTTTCTAACAACTTGATTAATTTGTATTTTTAAACTATTGTTTGTAAAAATTACTTTGAGACTAACTTCTCTAATGATGTCAGTACATTTATTTAATGAATATCAATTAAAAAAATTAATATCAAATCCAATGTTTGCGCTTGTAACTTGAACAGGAAAATGAAATCATGGAAAGTATGTTACATATCGTCCATATGTTTTTATTAAATATTTAGGATTTTTTCGCAAAATTCTTCTTCAATTGATTCAAGGATATTTTTAAAGTTTGGAAATGGATTATAATTCATGGTTTTTTTTAACAAGCAGTGTCACGGAGACATATCACTAAACCTTTTTTATTATACTTTCAATTTATCTTCAACTTATAAAGGTGGGTACTATGATAGATGAATTAAATTTGAATTCAATGATTTATCATTGTATATTATAAAAAACAATTCTGATCAGAGACGACAGAGCACCAACCTATATCACTAAATATATTTTATGATGTATTTGTTTTTGATATCCTTTAAAAGAAATTTATTTTTGTATTAATAATGTAGTATTTTAAATTAATTTTTTCCAAAATCCTTGCATTTGAAAATATCAATGTGTGTATTTAATGTAATAATATATGTAAAATAAGTAATTTCGCAAATTTTGAACTTGAAATGTTTATAAATATTTTTTTTTTAATTCTTGGTTTCGGTCTGAATTGCTAAATTTTTATTCAACTTTCAAGACTTAGTTATAAAAATTGTACATATTATAAATTTTCAACTACAAAATAATTTGTGCATTTTTGTGATTTGGGCGAATTGTCTTAATATTTAAACTTCAAATGCTTATAAAAAAAACCTAATATTAAATTTTTTAGCTTTTAGGATCAAATGAACATTTTTTTATTAACTGTGGTATGTTTAAAAAAAAATAAGAATTCGAAAATTCCATATGCATATACATTTTTTAAATAGTCAAAATATTTTGAACAATTTATCATTATAGAAAATTATTACATTTTCGTTACACAAACGATTGTGGAAAATTAAAGTATTTCAAAGTATTTATTTTTAAATTACAATAAAATATCGAAAATTGTTTAAGGAGAAATAGTTATTTTATAGGTGAATTTCCAATGTAAAATAAATATTAAATTTAAAACTAAATCGTTTAGAAAATCAACCAATGTATTAAAATTATAATTTTTTTTATGTAGGTACCTACCTAATTGTATTATGACGACTATTGACAAATTGTATATCATTTTTTCACCTTTAGCACTTTGTCCTACAAATTTAAATTTCCTTTTATTTTGGTTTATCGATTTTGATTATTTAATTTAAATCAATATAAATATGTTGTGTATTTAAGACTTTAAATAATAAAGTATAATTAGTATATTATACTTAATTTTATTGGTGCAATGGCGTATTTACGGGGAGGAGATCAAGGAGATATTTCCCCCTCATAGACTGTATATATACAAATAATTATAGTCATCATATTCTTTAAAAAATTATTATTATTATTTTTTTTTCAATAATTGATTAAATTTGCAAGAGTTAAAATATTATAATATATTGTCATAGCTATCTTCATTTATAAAGTCATATCCCCCCCATGACAAAAACCTAAATACACCACTGTATAGGTGTAGTAGATACTTACTACTTAATACTTATGGATGATCATGGGCCATGTTTATATTATACTTTAATACTAATTCCAACTGTGTGTGTGAGAGATATGAGTAAATTTCCAACAATCAACTCAATACTTTTCCAAGTCCTACACGTGTCCAACACGTTATTCAATTAAATACGATTTTTAAGAAGAAAAAAAGCATTAAAATAATTTTGAATATAGTAAATCCCACGTAACACCGGGATTACCCATATAATTGCAGATTTGATCAGGTAACTATTTTCGTTGGACTGCAATATTTGTATTTTGTAACAGCTTCCTATGATAAATTTTCATACTTTTTTGTACAATATTGTAGGTAATTCAAATTATTAAAAAAAAGTAAAATGTAGTTAAAATTATGATTTTGTCATATTTTAACTCTAGATATTCATACGACATTGGCGGTCACTCAGTAGTCAGCTTCTATAACCGGTCTTGATAACTATAGTAAATATAAATGCTGTTAAGGTCGTTAAGGAGTACAAAAATAAAAATAATTTCGTAGGCCTAAACTAAAAGAAGTTAAAATATTATTGAGTATTATAAATATTATGAAGTTTTAGAGTTTATGAACGTATAATTAAAAACGTGGTACGTGTGATTTAGATCAATTGTGGATTAAGATTCAGTTATCTGGGATTTCAAGATACTAAACATGATAAAACCACAAAAACGCTACTTTGTTGGATTGGCTTAAACTGATATAACAATTTGTTGATACAACAACTCTACTTGTCTACATACTACATACATTTTCATATTTCTCGTACTATTACTTTTTAGAGTAAATTTAATTGTAATCATTCTTCTTTGCTGCCTGTACTAACAATTATGAGCTAAAGTCTAAACTCTACTATAACATATAACTTATAAGTAATAGGTACATGTGGATTATCAATAAAGACAACTTTTTCTTCTTTTTTTTTTATTTATCTTATTTTAAATCCGGCAACTCAAGCCAATAGTTGTGACTTATAAATAGGAACAGAACAGTAGGTTTTTTTTTTTGTGCAGGGTTTGTTTGTAAGGTTAGAGCACGTATGTGTATGTACGTGCGCCATATATGAATTCGTCACTTAGAACCCAGGTGGTCACCCATCCGAGGGCTAGCGACAGCGGCCTATGCTTGACCTCAGAACACATTAGTGACCGAGGCCAATCACCACGCCATACCAAATCACAAAGGTCTCTTTACTTCTATTTTAAACTGTGAACAAAATTAAATTGTTATTAATTAATAATTAATAGATACCTATATAAATTTACTCTAACCGATTATTAACATATTGTATTATATATTACATTATAACTTATTAGTTTATTTATACAAATATGTCGATGATTTTAAATTAGTGCTAAAATATTTTACCAAAATAAATATTTCTTACAGCATACTTTTAAATTTCGTACTTTACACTACACTTTTCGTGGTACTTACACAAAGTGTGTCGTATTACACACTATTTTAAGGATTACATTACGCTTCATAATCATATAATAAAAATGATATAGTAATAATCATTATCTTCAGATTTAAAGTTCAAAATATTGGAAAACTAAAATAAACCATTTATTATACTCTTACTGACTTAAAGATATCACCACCGCCACAACCGTGTAGGTACCTAAGACGTGATGTGTTTCGGCGCTTCAACACTTGGTTAGTCAGAAATAGTATTTGGGATTTCTGATAGGCCCGCTCGTCATAAGCAATAGAGTGGGGGTTCTCCCACGGTAGTACAATAGCCGTTTGTTATGAGGGTAGGTCTGGCGCGACGAGGGATTTTCCCGCGTTTTGGTTGACGGGTGGGCGCGAACAACCAGTAGTATTATTTGATCAATGGAAAGAACGTTTGAAGTTTAAACATTTTCCCTTTCACGTCTCCACCGTCGTCGATTACCCTACGACCCACAGGTGTGGTTCCAATCCGCGTCTTTCTTAACTTTGCGCGCGCAATCTCTCTCTTCCCCCCTAACAGTGCAGTGTGCAAACCGAACCGCGCAAGACAGGCGTCGCGCGCGCACGTGACGTCAAAACGCCGCCCGTGTGTCGCGGCAATGAGGCACTGTCATTTTCCGTTTTACCGCGCTCGCTCCGTGATCCCGTACCCTACTGCTGTTTTACAGTACGACGTGACTGCGTGAATGTGCGTGTGCGCCGTACACATAAATAAATTATAATTAATAATTATATTTCATAACAATTACCAACGCCGTTTTCGCGCTCGCGGATCGTTTTTTCAGTTCGTGCAATCGTGCCCTTAGTCTTTCGCGTAGATCGATCGGGCGGGCTGTTATGCGACCGCGATGTGCGTGCAACGGTGACGGTTCATATTTATTATTAAAATCACGCCCGCGAAAAAGTATTTTATCTGTTAATATTATTTTTTGCTTCTTTTGTCCTCCGTGTTCTGTTTCCATTGCCACGCAGCTCGGGAAGAAAATTTAAAAGCCAGGTCGTCGATTCTTGGCACCGACAATCGGTGTAACGGACGACCCTTCTCGGCGCTATAGTAATGTCCCGATAATATGGTCAAGTCTAGGTTTCTCGGGAAACCGCCAAAGGCGCGATGTCAGCGCACGATGATCCGAGTCGGTGTATCTGATTTTGTGGACGTCGAGGCCAAGAACGCCCGATTGATAGCTATTGCGCTCAATGTATTTCGGAAAACGTTCGAAAAGGACGGAGAGGTACGTTAAATACAATGGTTAATAGTAAAAAAATAATAGAACGGCAGAATGGCAGTAGAAAAAAAGTTCAAAGAAAGCAATGCGGTAGTCCAGTTTTGGGTCTATCGTCTATCGGTTTTTAATTCTTTATTTCTTTAATCTTTTTGCAATATTTATTATTTTTTATCTGTGACGTACTCCCCACCCGTTCGTTATCACTATCGCGCGTATCCCGCTATTCCTGCTGATGGAGAAAGGATTTCGTATCTGTTCCGTGGTGATAACGCAGTCGTCTGTTATTATTATTACTATTATTGCAATCACTGTTTATCTCTCGTTTTATCGTGTACAGCAGCAACAGGAGTTTGCTGGGTTTAGCAACAGCGACTGCGAAGAAACTGCCAATAAGCTACGAGAGACTTGTGATCAAAATGCCGCGCCATACGACCAACGGGGCAAGTACAACACTGACTCAGTTATGGTGAGTGTTCATTTGTTTGTTACTTTAACTAAGATTTTATAATTATAATTTAAAAAAGTCGTTTAACCTACTCCTACTATTTTATAAAATCTTGCAAAGAGCCTTTAGTTTGAGATGTATAACTATTTTTTTTTATGATGTTCCTTTATATTATGTTCACATTTGTTGTAAACAATGTGAATCATTTAAATTAAAACAATGAAATAGCTAGATATTTTTATTTGAATATATTTTTCACCAGGTACTTAATATTATATTAAGTATGAATAACTGATACTTAATTTTTTATGATAGTGTTTTTGCACATTATACAAATACTAAAACATTCATTGGCGGAACTATGGCCTGGGCCAACTGGACCTTGGCCCAAGCAAATCTCGCCCCGTACTAATATTTACAGTACAATTAATATATTTTAAATAAACATAATAATATGTAGTATGTAATAATAAATAATGATATCATATATTATAAAAGAAAATATGTTTGAAAATAAATATTGTGATTTGTTTCTTAGTAAAACAATCAATTATAATTCTGCTGGAATTATTTTTAGAAGTATCTAAAGTTCTAAACATTGTATTTATTTTTTGAAAATGTATTATAAAATGGAACACACAAATAATATTATAGTGTTTCATTTAATTTTGTTATTCAAACTATTTTTTTACTCATCTTAAATTGTTTCGATTATAATAGTGCAGGTTATACATGTTAAAACTAAACTTATTGTACTACCATGACCAGGGACATTTATAGGCAATTTGTTACTTCCATACATTGAGATAAGTATATCATGGCAAAAAATATCGACGTTCATAAAGTAATCAAAAATTTTTAAAAAATGGTTCCATATTATCGTTGTTTAGTTTTATAAATATTTTCTGATATTTTTAAAGTATTCTATTGATTTAAATAATATTAAAATGCATTAATTAGGTACATCACTTTAAAAAAATAAATTTTGTTGTTTGAATTTTAGTAATTTTTAAATATAAAAATATAGAATGCTATACAAATATAACAGCACATAGATAATATGTTGAATCAAAGAAATTCGGATTTCAACTTTAAACAGAAAAAAATATTAAACTGTAAGTACTCATATATATACAATATATACATTATTACTTTTATTTTTAAATAAAAATGCATAGATATTTAACACAAATATACAAAAGTGTGTACAAATTAAACAAATTAATCTAAAAAAAAATATATATATATATTAAGAATATTTCACCCTCTCCTTCCACAGTTTATAAATGTGTATCAGAATTAATCAGGAAAAGTGGCCCAGTCTAATAAAAATCTTTAGTTCCGCCTATGAAAACATTGACTATTATAATTTTATTTATTAAATCAAATCATAATAATTTTATATTTTGTCTTTGAATTTAAATTATTTATATAATTTATGTTTTGATATTTGTTTTGTTGTGAAAATATTAAGATACCATACTAAAACTAAATCATGCTTTAGGTTCAACCTAGTATTATAAGTAAAATGAATTGTCCAAAATTAAAAAAAGAAGAAAATCCATTATGCGAACTTAATACTGCAAATAAAAACACTAGTTTATCTTCAGTTGTATCCTGCTTGGATGATAGTCTTAATTATACTTTTGCAAAGTCATGCAAAGGAGGTAATTATTATTTTCAACAGCTTGATGTTTTATTAAAAATTAGTAATTTCTGAATTAATTTAGGTCCCCTGAACATAAACCAAACTAGTGGTGAAGTACAATGTGGTGTTTGTGGTGTTATTCGTTTTTATAAATCAATAGCAAAAACCAAAAAATATGGAGCATATAGTTGCGATTCTTGCAGAAAGTTTATTGCTAAATCAATTGAAAATCAAAATTCTATTAATCGTTGTAATAATGATAGAGGTGAATTTATTATTTATTTATGCGTAATGAATATTTTTTTATTAAATTGTATTTTTGATTTAGGCATAGGACAGTGTCGTATTCCAAATGGGCTTAAATCTCAAAATGGTGTAACGAGAATTGTATCAACTGATTCTCGATGTAAAGCATGTTGGCTTCAAATGTGTCTGAAGCGATTCAAGTTACCAGAATCAACTGTTCAACGACTATTAGATACACTTCCTAGGGAGATAGCTCCAGTTCTTATGTGGGTTTTAAAGAAACCTGATCCATGGACCATAAATATAGGAAATTGTCTTCAAAAAAAAATTATTCGAGAGTATAAACTTCACAAAGAGGTTATTAGTGCTTTACAAGGTAAATAAATTAAAACTATAATATATATAAAATAATATTTATATAATAAATTTGTTTAGATGATGACAGTGATGAAAGCAATCAAGATTTGTATAGTAGTGAAAACGACGTAGATGAATGTTCTGATAAGTCTGATTCTGATATGGAATACAATATAAAAAAAGCATACAATAGAAAGAAACCAAAGCTCGAGGAAAAATTAACCAATAACAAAATAAAGAGAAAAAAAATTAAAAAAGTTGAAGTTGGTAGCGATATTCAACCAAATTATAATAAACGAGTTGCATCTGTACGATCAGTTAACACTGCAACGTCAAACTTATTAGAAACTAAAGGTATGCTAATTAAATATTTTATTTGGGTATAATTTGTTTCCGTCTTTTAAGTGCATAAAATATTAATATTTAGGTTTAACAGTTCCAATTTTGTTTGGTTAGTTTAAATATTAAAGTGAATTGATCTATTATCAAACTCAAAGGTAAGAACCTAATCTGTGTTTTCTCATTGACTTTTAACAATATTTTTATTTTTATGCAAGTTATGAATATTGAAAATATTAAAATTTAATAATGCTCATTACTCGCTTAAAAATTAAAATATTATAAAAAGATAACAAAAAACATTTTTAATGTTTTCACTTTTGAGTTTAATAATAGATTAGTTCACTCTAATATTTAAGTTGATAACAAAAGACTGGAATTGCTGAATCTAAATATTGGTATGTGATACATAAGCAAGATTGAGACAACACAAGTGTGTATGAAATCCTCTTAACAATTCAATGCCAATGATTATTCATAGTTATTTGATGTCAGTTCCTTTTAGCTGTTGATTATCAGGTAATAGTCATAGCATTTATATTAAATAATTTTAATGCTATCTATATTAGTTTGTAGGCGTCTAACAATTGATGGTTGTTCAGTATGTGTTTATGTCTATAAACTATTAAAAATATTTTTTCTCACATTTTTTATGAATACTAAATATATGTAGGTCTATATAAGAATCTTATTAAAAATTACTATAAATTTTATTTGAAAATATGAACTTGGCCATGATTTTCTACGTACAACTTATGATTTTTATGCGGCATTGAATGTGTTGAGAAACTAAGTATTATTTGTTAATATATTATTTTTATATTTCAATAAAGAATGCAAATATTTTAATAAAAAAGGACCCAGAGTTAAGCACGTGTGTCGTACTGCTGAGTCTGTTTTGGGACAAACCATAGCTACTTTTGGAAATGTTTTTGAAAATTCTCTAGATGATGATGATAATCAAAGTATGTATTTAAATGCTTAATTTGTATTAAACTAATTATGTAAATATTTTATACAATAATTGTTGGTTATGTTAAAATATTTATATTTATGCATCTTAGCTTATTTACATTCTGTTAATTTTATGCATTTAATAATGTATTTGCATTGTAAAACTTTTAATAATTATAATTATTTATATTAGCGTTACCAGTGGATATCATAAATGCATTCCACCATACTAGAAGTGATGAAAATATGATAAAGTAAAGTTTAAACATTAAGAATACACGATTATTTTATTAAATAATATTTAATTTTAGTTTTTCAGAAGTTTCCAATGTTAAGGACCCGTCTAGTAAATGCTCAAAAATGCCGTTACCTGTTGATAATGAACAAGATTTTTATGTATCTTTTCAACCAAAAGTAATACATTATATCTAATTATACATTTTATAGTACAACATTATTTCATACTTATGATTTTATTGTTTTTAGAGAACACTTCAAGATCTAATGATGCAAGATCATTTAAATGCTAATATAGATAATGCTGAAGATGACAAAACTATTGATTTAAATTTTCGTGAAAGTTATGACCCAGATAGAATTGCTGAAAATGGATTTGCTATTGTGGGTACTGAGCCATTATCAATACCTCGAAGAGCAGTGTGTTTCTTATGTGGAAGTGCTGGAATGGAAAAAGTAAATGGATACAGCTTTTATTTTGTAAAAATAGTTATACAATAATGTATCAAAACAATTCATTTTAGTTAATTCACTGCATTTCTTGTTGTGAACCTTACCACAAGTTTTGTGTTGATGGTGTTGGTGTTGGAATTTCATCACATGAAAGCGAATGGTCTAAAATTAGTTGGACATGTCCAAAATGTAAGGTAAAGTAAAATTATTATTAACGATGGTAATATAAATAACACATAGGTATTATAAAATTTAAATTGTTTTGTTAGTTGTGTTTAATAATATTATAGTAATCAATTACCCAAGCTTGGAATTTCATAGCTTTAAATTTTTGAACTTAATATTTGAAATTATTTACTCGATAGAGTTTTTTTGAGATTGTGAATTCATATGTGATTATTTAATTGTATTTTTTGGAATTATATTTTTCAATAAATGTTGTTATAATACTTTATAATTATACTAATTGATTCAACAAACGTTATTCTGAGAATGATTCAGAGTATTGTTGTTATCAGTACTCTATTTGTATGCATAATTTTAGCAAACACTTATGACTGTAAGTTCATACTAAAATTTCATTGAAATTTTCAGTTTTTTCTAAAAATTTTAATTTTTCTTTCAGTAAAAACTTTATTCAGATTATTGCAAACATTTAAAAAATAAATGAGCTTAATCAATCCATTTATTTTCAAGTTATGCCTTTATAAAAAAACAGTATTTTATTTTTTATAAGATAGCTAATATAAAAATTAATTATTTTTTGTAGTATACATATTATATTAGAAATTATCCTTAAAAATAAAGAATAATACATAGTCTTATATCATGATTATTTTTTGTATATAGTTATTTGTCTTTATATTCAAATTAAACTCAAATATTTAAATAACTTATTTAATAATAATGTAAAATCGACTGTGCAGATTTTGTTGTTATTTAATTTAAACATTGATTTTTACAGGTTTGTAAAGGTTGTCAAAGTAGAGGTAAAACACGACCCAAATTAACTTGTCAACGATGTAAAGATTCCTATCATGATCATTGTCTTGTTGACAAAATTGTTTATGATCGAAATAGGCCATGGGTAATATAATATACATATTACAAATATCTTTAATATTTATTATTTTTATTTTGTTATATATTTTCATTAATAACTTTTTGTAGGCTTGTCCACCTTGTAGAAAATGCAAAAGTTGTCATGTACCACAAGTTGATTACTTTGTTGGTAATTTAGCTCTGTGTGTAATGTGCTTTCAATTAAGACAACGCGGTAATTATTGTCCGTTATGTCAAAAATGTTACGAGACTGATGATTATGAAACAAAGGCAAGATACACGTGATTATTCATTTTAAATTATAATTAAAATAATATATTTTTTTAAATTTTAGATGATGGAATGTGCAGTTTGTAAACATTGGGTTCATTCTAAATGTGAAGGCTTATCAAATGAAAAATATGAAGTTTTGAGCACATTACCTGAAGTAATTGAGTATGTTTGCAAGTAAGTATTGCCATATAAAAATAATAATAATATATAAATTATGAATATGAATTCTATTTTGTTATAATTTTAATATAAAATTTTATTTTTAGGAATTGTACTACTGATAGCACTATTCCGTGGCGAGCTTATGTTGATGAAGCATTAAAAAGTGGTTTTATGACTGTTCTATCAATTCTGGGAAAAAATAAAAAAATATGTGATCTTATTAAATGGAGTCCTCAAAAACAATCACCAGGTTGTGTATGTAAGAAATTGATAATACCAAAATTTCCATCACTTGATGGACCTAATGTTACTACAGTTAAAACTACTGATGAAATTCCTAAACAATGCGTTTGTCATGGATTGGAAGGATGGTCTAAAGGTACTCCAACACTAGTCACAATAAAACAGAAAGTCAATAACAACGAATATGATTCCCTTTGTCAATTTAATGATGACATGTTAAGTACTATTGATAAATTTGATGTGCCTGAACTTCGGTTAGAATATAAGAAAATTGTTACTGACATTTTCCCGTGGTTCAGCTCTGATTTTGAAAAGAACTCTCCTCGTAAAAGTTCCTACTCATCTAGCACATTACCAATCATAAGTCCACCTAAGTTTATTCCAAAGTTTTCATTTAATTTACTGAATTCTGATATAAAAGCTCTACATGATATTATTGGTAATGATGAAAATAATTATTATTTAACACCAAAAATAGATGATACAAGAGTGTGCCAATTTTGCAAGAAATTAGGTGAAGGTGTTCCAATGCGAGAAGGGAGACTTCTTTATTGTGGTGATAATATGTGGGCTCATGCCAACTGTGCTTTATGGTCTTCTGAAGTCTTTGAAGAAATTGATGGATCGTTACAAAATGTTCAATTAGCTCTATCTAGAGGTAAACTTGTTCGATGTGTGGTTTGCAACGAAAAAGGGGCAAGTGTTGGATGTTGTTATCGAAATTGTGTGAAGACATATCATTTTCAATGTGCTAGAAAAGTATTTTGTGTTTTTAATGAAAATAAAACTGTTTATTGTAATAACCATGCATCTGATACTCGCTGTAGCGTTAAAGACTTTACATTGGAAAGACTGATTTATATAGAACAAGAAGACATCAAACAAAAGCGCAAAGAAAGTTCAGAGATTCATATTTTAATAGGTTCATTATATATTAGTTGTATTGGATATTTACATCCATTTCTATCAGACAGCGTTGAATCTATTTTTCCTATTAATTTTAAAGCCAAACGATACTATTGGTCAACAAAAGAACCATGGAAATTAATTCAGTACAATTGGACTACCAAGATTGAAAATTATGTAGAAAAATTAAAATTTGACCAACTTAACTACACTATTGATCATAATAAACAAGAAAACGAAATTGATCTTACCAAAGATGATTGTAAACAAGATTTAGATATTAATTTGTTTACATCTATTCAGGTGGATAACTTAGAAAAGTGTTATGAAGCTTTAAAAAGAAAATGTCCAATTGATTCTACTTTTCAAGCTAAACGTTGTAAAATGGATAGTAATATTGATTGTTTTGCTTACCCTAACTATGATACAGATTCTGAATTTGAATCCACAATTGATGAAACTTGTAGAATGGAAATATTTTCAAATAGTTATGGATTAAAACCAAAAGCAATTCCCCAAGTTGATGGGTTGTATGATTCAAGTGACTGTGAATCTGAATTTGAAATATATCAACTTGATAATTTGACTGATGTTATTGATGATTGCACAAATGACCAACCAGTAAAATGTAATAGATGTCATCGGACTTATAGAACTAGTTTAAGTTATGAAAGACATTTGGTAAATTGTAATTTTGACTATGATATAGACAGTGACAGTGAATCCAGTGATGATGACAAATGTGACAAGAAAATTGAAGATGATTGTTTGCCACTTGCAGATGAAGTAGTTGTACAAGTAGAAGATCATAATATTGTACCTCAACAAAATTATATTTCTGCCACTCAAGTTGAATCTGAACATCAGCAACAGCAACAAGAGGAACCACCTCACACTGTTATACTTCAGCCTATTCACACTTCATTTGTCCAACCTTCTGTGTCTGATGTCCAGTACATTACAATAAATAGTACTCCAACACAATCTGTTTTGCCCTGTTTTCAATATCAACCTTCACCAACTGTTATAGTACAACCACCAGTTGTTGATCCTACTACGGTAGTTCTAAACAGTCCTCCGTTGGATATGTATGTCTCTCAAAGTAATAATTTATTATTTAGTTCACAACCTATGATAGTTGGTTTAGATCAATATACTACTATGTCTTCAAATTATACTTTTACGCAATCGCCTCAAATTTATCAACCTACCAAACCTGCTGAACCAATTACAAATCAATATTATATCATTAATACAGATCCAACTATTTCAAATGAGTGGTCGTATAATATAACATCTGAAATAAAAACTGAACGTAAAGTAGTGTGTACCCAGCCCAAAGTCTACTCTAATCGCAAATTGCGATTAACTGAGTGTTATGATACAAAAGAAAATATACCTAATACCTTAGTGCAATCTGTAGAAAATCAGGTGTATGGTGTTATGAATATCATGAGAAACGTAAATCCAGAACCATGGAAAAAACCAACTATGAAAACATATCCTTCTAAAAGAATTGAACAGAAAATTTCACCCAGAAGAATTGAAGAAAAGAAAATTCTTCCAAAATGTGTTGAACCACCACATTTATTTAAAATATCAACTCCTGTAAACAATGCAGGTATAGTCAAACCTTCAACAACTGTTATGAATACAGTGATGCCTATTTCAGTACAGACAGAATCAATAGAGTCCTCTCCGGTAAAATTGGGTTACTCATCACCACCTAACGATATGTCAAATTTTACATCATGTTCATTGAAATCAAATAGTACTTTATCTTCACCTCTGAAAACTGAACTAAAACCTTCAGATTCATCTGTAAAAACCTTAAAAGTGCTACCTTCTCAAAAAATAACAAAAGAAGTTAGTTCCAGAAAATTAGAAACTTTTATGCAGCAGTTAGAGAAGCCACCGCAATCACCTGTACAAAATGTTGAAAAAAAATCAAACATGTCTAATGTAGAAACTTGTTCATCCACATTAGTTACAGATATAAAAACATTGCCATCATTAAATTTAGATAAGCATTCAAGTACTTCAATGGTGGTTAATAAAACTATGAAAAATGATGAACCTATGGAAGTAGAATTACTATCACCTAGTCCTAGTCACTTTGGAAATGATAAATTACACTTCGAAAATAATTTATCTCCTAACACTTATGAAAATATTTTACCAAATAATCATAATGTTACTGGAGATAATTATAAAAAATGTAGTTCATCAAACAAAGAAATTACTTTAAGTATTCAAGAAAACTCATCTCAAATAAAAACACAAACTGACCTTCATAAAACCTATCCAGAACGTCAATGGTCTTCATCTATAACAGAACGCAAACAGACAGTACCTCACCTCATGTTTGAAATGAGTTCTGCTGATGGCGTCTTCTGTAAAGATCGTTCACTTGTTGAAATTTGGTCTAAATTATTTGATGCTGTTCAGGTATCGAGGAATGAACGTAAAATGCCTCAATTGTCATCAAGCAATCCATATGCGAGTGATATAACAGCAGCAATTCGATCTCTAGGCCTAAGCAATAATTTTTTAAAGTATCTTTTAGAACAACTTTCGGGTGCAAAAGAATTTGTTAAATACAAACCAGTATATCATAAAGGTGCTGATGTTGTTGGCTCCACCTCAGAAAATAATTCAGGGTGTGCTCGTACTGGAATAGTAGTTAGAAAAAACAGATATGATATGTTCAGTTGGTTAGCTTCCAGGCACAGAAAACCTCCAAAGCTGTTAGCAAATAATGAAGACTTTGGTGGTCGCCGTGCTAATTCCTTGCCCAATGAGATGAAATTTAGAAACATGAATAAAGCATTAACTACGACTATTGGTGTATATAGGTCAGATATTCATGGGCGTGGATTGTTTTGTTTGAGGGACATTGAACAAGGGGAATATGTTATTGAGTATACAGGAGAGGTGAGTTAATCTTTTAATATTAAAATGTAAAACTTACTAATTATTTTTATATTTTGCAGGTTATTCGATCAGAAGTAAGTGATGTGCGTGAGAGACTTTATAATAAAAAAGGGATTGATTGTTACATGTTCAGAATCGATCAGGATATTGTTGTAGATGCTACAATGAATGGAAACTCTTCTAGATTTATTAATCACTCATGCGAAGTAAATATATCATATACCTAAATGTTATGTAATTTATCTTAAGATATAAAATACTTGGAAGTTTTTTTATATTGATATACTAATAAAATATTTTCATCAAACAGCCTAATTGTCATTCAAAAATTGAAACAATCCATGGTAAAAAGCATATAATGATTTTGGCTAAAAGAAAATTACTGCAAGGCGAAGAACTCACATATGACTATAAATTCCCATTAGAGGATGATAAAATTACGTGCCATTGTCTTTCAAGGAAATGTCGTAAATATTTAAATTAACGTTAGTTTTTTTAGTATTTCTGTGACTTTCAAAATTATTTGCCACTAACTATATATATATATTTTTTTTTTTAAGTACCTTATAGATCTAATTATATATTATATTGAACAAACTTTTAAGCTATTTTTTTATAATTAATTTTTTTTTTTTATTTATTTATAATTATTTAATTTTGTTACCTTCAATGATGGATGAATATTTTTGTAATTAAAAATAAGTTTTAATTTTTCACTAATCATTTGATGAAAATTGTGTAATTAATTTTTACAATATTCGTACTTATATGTTAATGAACTGTCTACATCACAATTTTTCATCACCTGTAATTTATTATAATCACATACAATTGAAAACGTGTAAGCTTGGTAGTTAGTAGTTAGAAATATATATGTATATATGTATAAATTTATATACCACCTAGAAATATCTTGATTTACAATATAACAAAATAGCTCATTAATTGATTATTTAATTATTGATACAATTAACAAGCAATTAATTATAATTGTTATGCTAACAAGTGATAATTTTTATATTATGAATTTATTTTCTTGTATTTAAATGTTATAAAATTATGTAAATTTATATTATAAATGTATATCATGTTATTTTAATATTCTTTAAAGCTACCTCATAATTTTATTTTTATATAAAATTGAAAATTAGTTTAAGAATAATTATTTTTTGTCTCTTCCATCACTTTTAAGTAGTATTTACATGTGATAGTAAAGTTATAAATAAAATTGATTACACACTTGACTTGTTTTAATTTCAGTTAAAATATAGCAAACCTCTTATAGACTTTTGTTCATTTTTAATCTGATATAGGTTAAAATTAGTTTTACCTGTACTTAAACTTTAATATTAACTTACTTAGATAATTGAAGTTTATAAGTTAATGTTTTGTTAAAGTATTTTTAGTTTTCCATACTAACAAATTGTTCAGATAACAGCTTAATGTATTTAAGGGCTTATATTTATTATATGGGGTTAATGGTTATTCTAATTTTGTTGAATTGGAATCAGAGTGTAGATAAAGTAAAAATGGAGTGAAACTTAAAAAGGTCCGTTATAATACCCTTATACAACTTGTTAATTATCGAGTTATTATAAAGTTAAGAGTAACAATAAAAACGACTTGAAGAAATCTTGTTTTAAATTTTCAAGTTTTTTAAGATTGTTTAAAAATAAACAATTTTATAATGTACTAAAAACTTAAGTCTAGTACAGTATAAGTATTATATTTCAGTGGGTTGGTTATATAATCAATATTTCTTTTGACTTACCACAATTTTTAAGCTTTTTCTTTGTTGGTCTATCAACCAATTGTATTTTATAATTTAATTCAAAATCATCCTTTATAAAATGTTCTGAAGATACAAAAGGTGTATCAGGATTAAATTGATTGGCCCATTTACATTTAAGTACCCAAATTTTTCTTCTCTTTTCTTTGATGAATGTAAAAAATGATAAATCTTTGCCTTCTTTTATTGAATTAAATTTATTATTTGTACAGACAGCAATAGCACAATTATTCATTCCAGGCATTTGGAAAATATTTTATTTTGATTTTATTAAATAGCAGAAGAAAACATAATAATCACCGAATAGCAACAAAATGTACAGATTTTCTATTTATAATCTTGGTAAATTCATTTTGTTTTTGAAGTAGACAATAATATTAATATTGTATTATAAAATCTACACTGGAAGAAGTCTAAACGAGACGATTATTAATAATTAATAAACTTAAGTATTTAAATTTTTAGAAACATAATTAATATTTGTTTTATTATTTTATTATTATTTTTGATTCATTTTTAATTTCACTACCATGTATATTTGAGGGGTAATTGATTAATAATTTAAATGATTTATTATTTTATTAAATTTCAGTATTGTAACAATACCAAAATCACATTACTTGTAATATTATACTCCAATTCATGTTAAAGATCAAAATAATAAGTACTGTAAGTTAATAAATATTAAAAAATAAATTCGAGCATGGCACTATGGCAGCATATAATATATTAACATAATAGTCATAATACATAATATTATGAAATACCCTGTATTTCAAATTTCGCATTATTATGACGTTATTTTGTTATCTATCCCGCACCTGTTATTTATTGTCCATCCAACACGATCGAACCTTCTATTTATATTAATCATAGACGGTAACTACATTGGTTACTGGTAAGTTATAATTTATAATTCACTGACGTGTTTTCGTTGCCTGTCAACGGCAGTGAAGGTCCGTGTACCCCAATAGATAATAATAAACATAAATGATAACCGTTCTCAGTCCGCGTTGATAACGCCAATCGTAACTGTTGTTGTTTTCCTGGATACAGTCCTAATTTTTGAATACATCGACAAGTGACATTATTATTTGGTGCTGCAAAACGAAGAACTTCGGACGATTGCTAAAAAAAAAATACAATTGACCAGACTCTCCGGACAATGATCGACGACGGATGTGTTATAACGTCTCGCCGGTTGCTGAATAATAAAAGCTCATCAATTACCAGAGTTTTGCTGGCTCACCATTGAATAGTAGAAGTCAGTGGTAGTGTGTCTTACTAACCACCAACTGTCAGCTCCAAAGAGATGTCACCCCGCAGCATCAACTGCTTGTTCATGTTGGTGGTCAACATTTGTCTGTACATGAGCGTCGTATGCTTCTTCTCGTCGTCCAGTTCAATTGTTAATAGCCGCATCGACAACAGTTGGCTCAACGAGGTGAGTTTATCATGCACATCAGCTCAGTAATATTTAATCGTATCCCCTCTCATTGCAGGGTAATGGTTAAAAAATGAAACATCCTTAATTAATTACAGTCTCTTATAAGACACATCTTGTGCGACTTAAAAATGATGTCCACTGTTGTTTTTTTTTTTTTTTTTTGAGTTTTTAAATTGTATTTCAATTTAAGATTATTAGTTATACTTAAGTTATAAAAATTCATTTTTTCTAAATTACCTATTCTTGTTTCATCGTGCTTCAACCTGTTCTATTATAAAATGAAATAAAATAAGTAGGTCACATTTAAAATGTAATTTGTACTACATTGAATTCTGACATAACAAATCATTGAATTAGAACTGTGGAAAATATCTGTATTGTTTTTTTTTTCAAATAATTATTCAATATTGACATTTTCTATCATCAAAATCTATGAACTTATTTAAAATGCTTGGAATGTGGCCTAGTTGTGATATGCATACATACTAGAGAAAGTTTTTAATTTGTTAAGTGAGATTAGTTACATTTAATGACTCATTTATTTGCCATTTTTACAATATTTATAAAAAACTGTCATGAAATATATTTAAAGAATAACAGATGTTTGATAATTTTTATGACGAGGCATTACATTTAAAAAAATACATTTTTAAGAGATAATTAGCATATATTTTTAATTTCATCCAATAAAATATGGAATTACTAAATGACAATAGCTTAGCTTGTTTTAGTTACTGAAGCATACAGTTATATTTTGCATACTAATGTTTAATTTGCTCATGCATTGTTGGGTTTTTAAACATGAATTATTTATTTTATTCTTAATAGTATTAATTTGTATCAATTATTTGATATTTTGATATGTTAGGTTTAATAATAGTATTTCCTATAGTTAAAAAAAAAAAAAAAAATAGTTACAGAATAGAAGATATCTTATTCATTAATAATATCTTGTTATCTTTTTAATACTTATTTATATGTAGGTAACATAAGCTATTTCAATGACTTTTAGAATTATTGAATTTTTACATTAATTTATGTGCAAGTAACAATTAAAAAAGATTCACTAATTAAAATTAAAATATTTTATTCTTGATGGAATGAATGTACCAATGATTGATAACTATTGTGTGTATTTATTGGTTTTGATGTTTGTATTTGTTTATAATTTATTAAATATAATGTAAACTATATATAATATTATTGCAAAATATAATATAGTATAGACTATAGCCTATAGGTATTTATATAATATATATAAATATGCAAGAGTACACACAGAAGTTTAGAAAATGCATAATGATACTATATTATATTAAAATAATGTATTCATACCATAAAATTAAATATAAATTATTAAAATGGTGATAGTCAGATAACAAATTCCTGGTCAAAATAATAAATTTCAGATGATTGGATTAGGTCAGTGGAGTAGCCAAGGATTTTAATAATATAAAAGTGGTTTACTCCCATATTTGTTTCTAAGTCCCTTGGGAGATAAACTCTCAAATAACAATTTAAGCTATGATTCATGAGGCAATTTCCCTCAAGGGTTACTGATAATTGCACTACCGATTAAATAATAGTCACTGAAAACAATTTCTATGTTATAATGTTAATATGTCTAATAATTAGTTATTGGAATTTAACAAATTATCATAGTGCAAAAAATGTATTTTAATAAATACACATCACATTATTTTATATTAAGCTTATCACCGTATTATTAGTACTTGGAAATACTGTCACACTAATCAATTTTCAAAAAAACTGTGTTAATATTATCTGGCAAAAACAATTCATCAATTATACAAATTTAATCATACAATGTTAAATACAAATAAATATCATTATTGTATTGTCATTTTCCAATTTATTTTTTTATATTTATTATACTCCAACAACCTTTTATTTTTTACCTTTTAATAGCATTTTCATAAAATGTATGTAAATTGTATAAGTTATTAATATTGTATGAGTTACTAACCTATTTTTGAATGAAGCTTCTGTTAGTACTTAATGTTAGTGTTTAATATAGATACATCTGGTAAAAGTTACACAATAATACTAATACATGTGTTCTATTTCATATTTTAATATTTCAACTACAAAAAAAGTACTTAACAAATATACATTGAATTACCTGTATTTTTAAAGTTAAGTAACTGTCAAATTATACATTATACTATTACCTATACTATTGAAACAATTCTTTCACTTCATAGTTATCATGTTTAGTATGATAGATACTAACAGTTGAAAAGTTATTTTCAAATATAATTTAATATATTAAATTACATATTTTATTATAATGGTTTCAAATATTATAAATTTTAAATAAACAATATTTTTATTAAATCTAGATATTCCAATATTAAAATATACAAATACATATTTTAACAATATTTGGAAGTAATATTTTAAGAGCAAGTATTAATTTTGTCATAAAGTTTTACAAATAATATTTATTAATATAAAAAGATGTTTAAAATGTTAAAGGTAAATTGCATTACTTATTGCATTCAATCTTAAAGTTTATACCTAAATTGTAGTATAATTTTAAAAAGAGAGTTTTATAAAAAGCCTATAAAATTATATATTATTTAATATTTTGTTTCAAACTGAGTTAAGTATTTACTACTTAGGTCATATTTTTACTTGCTCATACCTAATTATATAATATAATACAAAACAAACAATAAAAATGGTTGATTATTATTACTTATTTATTTTAATTTTCTAACTCACGTTATTATTACTATTGCTTGTAAACATAACAAGTATTGTGTATTTTTTATTCTGTTTATTAGTATATATATATATATATATATTACGTGTAGATTAAATTAAACAAAATTGTCGGTAATTATTTTTGTAAAAAATAATGTTAAAATGTCAATTTCTTACTTAAAACTAGCATTATAAATAATTATACTAACATAAGTATTTGTTTTAGGATCTTAGTAGAGAGACTAATGTATTAATTTTTCGATTATGTGTTTTTTTTTAGTGTATGTATATACGATAAGTAGTTGAAAAAAGGCTTCAATTATTAACTTTGAAAGTAGTTTTGAGTACCTAGTAAATAAGATTTAGTTTGTACTTTTAGAGGTAGGGGTTGAAAATCGAGTATTTTTCTTTATAACTGAGAAAATAAAAAAAGATACTTGTTTGTTAGTACGCCGTACAAAATTTATTTCCCCCCCATTCTTATTTGTTATTACCCCGTCATAAATAAAATAAATAAATTATATTTATTATTAATAATAAAAGAAATCCAAAAGTAAGTACACATGTATATTTAATTATAATGGAGGCCAGAACTTAGATGTATATTTTACTAGATGATTTCAAAAGTGTCTTGTTCCCCGAGACGTGTCTCCACATAAATTCAGCCAAATATGATTTCCAAAAATTTTTTTTAGTTTCCCTATTTAGCAGAACCCCACAACCTCTCGATGTCTTGATGTGTGTCCCTATGTCCGAGTCAATAAAATTATATGTATGGTTAACCGTATTATATTGGAATCCTGCTTGTCGCAAATTATTGCATGCTTTCCAACAATCTGACAACATTATTGAGCTTGGTCTTATATATATTTTTTATTATAGGTAGGTAACAATGTTTTCTTCGATCAATTAGACGCTTTTATTATAAAACACGCTTTGGTTTTCAGACATATTCCACCAAAAATCCATTGCTGTGGCAGAATACGTTCAGCATTATTTTTTCTACGCATAAATAAACTTTTATCTATTTCGACAAAAAGGTCAGGGCACTATAATATGGCGGGGCAATAACAAACAAGTACCGTGTAACCTAGAAATTTATAACTGTAGATAACTGAAATTTTCATCAAATATTTATATTATGATTATTAACTGAACATGATAAGAGTTTCAAAATATTTTGACTCTTTTTGAGTTATTGATAGATGAATAAAAAAAATCGATAAAAATGTTTTCATTCAATCAAAAATTTCAAAAATTGAATACAATATCTAATACAAGTTGTTTTTATAGCTAAATAAAAATAATTAAAATCTATAAACACAATTTATTTTTGTAACCAATTTTAAGTTAACGATAAAACAAACTTCGTCAAAATCACGAAAATTTTCAAATTGTTTTGCAGTTGAAATTTTATTAAATTTTAAATTTTTACTACTTATAACTTGAATATCTGAAATAAATTTAATTATAATTTTTTTATAGATATTTTAAATTTCTAAATTTAACCTAAATTACATATTTTAATAATGAATAACAATGTCCAATAATTTTTTATAATTTAAAAAATATTATTTGAAGAGACTTAAATCTTTTACGTATGTTATGCACTGTTCTATACTTGATAAAAATTTTTAATTCAAGACTTATTTACGCCATGAATACCCGTTAACGCTGTTTAACGGTAAGGTGAGATTAATTTAAAATTTAATAATAATAGTATGGTTTAAAAATATACATTATCAATGATAATACTTATAAATACAATGTTTTCGTCAAATTTAAATTAATCTTCTATAATAAATCGTTATAATACTAATTGTAAAATAGATTAATTTAATTTAAATATCAAAAAACATATTATGAAATCAAAAATATATGTAATGATAAAGAGTAAAACACTGTCTCCGTTCAGTTTCATTTTTGTACTTAAACAATGATATAACTTTGAATTCAAATTTAACAAATCCATTGCAGTGACTCACTCGATATCTAATGTATAGCAGAGTGGTATCCAATTGCCCACCTTTTTTTTTTTTTTTATTGCAATTTACAAACAGCAAGTATTTAATTATTGTCTTTAAAATAAATACATAATATACGCGTGTCGCATACCTACAGTTGTCAAATGTCAATTAATAAAGAAAAATACCGAAGTAAAATTGTTTCAATATCATTTTTTAATGGTGCTAAACTAACTGTTTTAGTAGTTATCGTACGTTTCTACTTTTTACATGTTCTTTTGAACGATTAAGTATTTTGTAGGCCTTATAAAGTAGTGAAAAAAATGTTCAAATAACTTAAAAACTGCAGGTGCGCAATATATTAATAAGCACAATGAGGAGGGCACTACATTTTTTACTCGTAACATATTCTGTATAATATTGTATTCGACGTTTGATTTTTATGACCATACGGTTAATTACAAATTCTAATTATTGATGTTTATGCATACGTCATGGAAGTGTGTTTTACATTCTTGCGTAAATAATATTTTAATTTATAATATTGGTATGCTAAATGCACATATAGGAACAGGGGTCTCCAAACTTTTTATACCATTCGTTTTAACGGTTATATGAAGGTTATAGGAGACTGGTGGTCCCACAAAAGGCACGAGTATAATAAATATTTATGGTTTATGAAATGTGGACATTTATAAACTTGTTTTTTTTTTAATATGATTCTAATTAGCCCTTGTAGAATACAAATTTCCATATTATCGGTATTCCGCTTTTACCTCTGATTTTTTTTCTTTACTACACAGAGCAATTCTTTTATTGAAAAACATTCATTATTCAAAATCTGCTTATGTTTTTAATATTTTTTTTACATAATTTCCAGTCGAAATAAAATAAAATTTTCTTTAAAAAAATATTTTAACGTTTTTTATCATTGTTATAATTTGTTACATTTTTTTATATTTTTAATTTCATACTCCAAAGCCGAATATTTTAATGAAATATTTTTTAACTCATAACTTACTTATCCAAATTTCAATTTCTATGTATTGTAATACTCCAAAAAATATTTTGCTTTAGAGAATAAAATTAAAAATGTATGTTGTCATTCAAAAAAGTAATAAACTTAATATATATATATTTTTTTAATGTTTTAATTTGATTAAAAGTTATATGAAAAAAATATTTTCAAAAATTTTGAAATAATGAGTGTTGTTGGATAAAGGAATTAGTTGATATATTTTATCATAATATCATAGGTATTTATCACCGTGTTATATTTCAAATTTTTGATCACTTTTTTAAACTGAACAGTTGGTATAACAGTACATATATTAATATATACTTATAACTAGCTGACCCGTCACGACTTCGTCCGTGATTGGTTGTTTTTTTGATTACCGAAAAAAACGTGAAAAACAAATTTATTAACACTTAATTTAATAATTATATTTTACATGTTATATTATTTACATGTTAACCTAACTGGTATCTTTATATATTATAAATTACAAAAAATACAAATTTCAAATTAAATCACATTTCATTCTTATATTATGTTCTGTATTCGATAGGAATACATCAATACTTTATTGTATTCCCTAGTAAATTGTTCGCATAATTTGTTTAGCCGAGTCTGCATTATATATCCTTTATGTGGTTTTTTTTGTAAGTTATAATTGCCCAATTTCTCTCAATGATTATTTAGCTTTATCAGCTCCCACCTCGTTTTTCATATTTTTTAATAATTTCCATATCAATGAATTTTTATGCCCAACCAAATGACTGAACCTATTATTCCATTCCTCACTCACGTTATTGGTTTTACTACTATCTAATAAGATACTTTAGTGTACATTCCTCGTTGGATAAGGGAAGTGAGGAGGAAGTCGACGAAACTGAATACTTAAATCGTTATCAGCTCCTATTCGACTCAAAGGACCACTTACATAAACTGAATCAAAATAATTTACTAAGTCCTCTGCGCTCGAAGGAGCAATAGTTTTAATATAATCCATTTCTCCCTTGACGTGACTTAGTGGGAGAAAAGCTAAGTTATCTAATATAGAACAAAAAGGGCCGAAATCATCGTCTGTACGATATTTAGTTTCTAAACCAAGTTTTTGTATACGCCTATGAGTGCTTTGGCATACTCGTAAATGATAAAAACAACCCATTTTATTGTTAAGTGACTATCAATAATATTTTTAAGAGTACTAATAACAGATATTTCAAAATTGAAATGTACTTTAACTGGGTCAGGGTAATATTTACATTTATTGCATTCGTCCAAAATTATTCTGAACATTTGTTCATATGTCGATTATTTTTTCTTTTGTAATAATGCATAAATTGCAGTTACATATTTACAGCTGTATTTTATACGAATAATATATAAGTGTAAAAAATGTTTTGGTGCAGTCCAAAAGTTCCATTCATGTACCATTCTTTAGATTGACTCAATAAATCTAACATGTTGTCGGTACCAAACATGATAATCCTCTCATTAGTATTTTCAGATCAGTTATCATGTAAAAGAAAACGTTGACTATTCCATAAAGACCATTCTCCTAAAATATAAATATCATCATTATAATATTATTATACAATTTTATGTTTATAAATATTTTATCTATACCTTCAATAACTAAATTATTATCTGTTGACTCGACAGGGTTAATTCCCCTTCTTTGCATTCGAATCGTTTGTTTTATTGATTCTTCCGTAGGCATTTTCACTAAAACTTGTTTAGGTATTGAATTAATTACTTTATTGAAAATTTGATTAAAACTAGAAACTTAGCAATTTATTTTATTTTAATTTTAGATTTTACGGCTTCGATGGCGCTATCATCAGATGTGTGGTTGTGATCGTGATGAACACTTAAGATTTTTTTTGTTGAATCATGATTTTAATATAGTTGGACACTTACATGAACTACTTTTCATGAATTTTCACCGAATAAACTGATTACATTATTTATATTTAGTATACGTCATATAACCTTTAAAAGCCACTTTTTCATTATTTTTATTTTATTTTAAAATTTCCATTATTGATTACGAATTACAAGTAAAACTATATATATATTGTATTAGACGATCAAACACAGACCAATAACGTAAAAACAGTAGGTAAAATATCTGTAATATTTTCAATTTTATCGATCGACAAACGTCGATAATAGGTATCTATTAGATAAAGTAAAAAAAAAAATATTATTTATATAATATTTATTTCGTAATTCAACGTAATTGAATACCGTCGTAACTTTATTTTTTATGAACTATTGGACCTTAACAAGAAAAACTTGTTTAAAATTAATAATTACAAATTATAGTTATAATAATTAATTCTAATCTTGTTTTTTATTTTATTGACGGGTAATTTTTCCGGGGATTTTTTTACCGAGGGCTTTTTTTTCCGTTTACCGTTTTTTTCTCCTCGGACGATAATATTATGTAGTATTTTTTATTTAAGTTTTATCGTTTAATGTGATCGGCTAGTAAATATAAAAAACGGTTAATGAAGACGTATTGAAATGTTTCTAGTGGTATTAATGATAAATATAATTTAATTAAAAATGAATACAGATACAAAAGAAATAGTAATTAATCTGTTATTGATAAAGATAATAGATCATTCGTAGAAGAATTTGGTATAACCTTATGAAAAAAAAATATGTAGTGTTGTCACAAAATGGGAACAAAAAAAAAGGATTGTTCTTGAGGACTTCGCAGAGAGGCCCCAAAAATTAGCTTTGTTTTTTAGTTTTTTAAGAACTTCATACTTATTTTTTATTAACACAAATGGTAAAAAAACCTTCAGCAGGCTGTCAGGTATAACAGTAAAATATTTCAGCCAAATCGGTTTTGTAGTTTTCTCAGTTAGTACCTTCATAGAAAACCCCTTTCAATTTTATATAGTAGTAGAGATTTATATATAATTAATATACTATAGGTATAGTGTAGAATTATATATTTAGTCGATAATTTTCTGAACATAGTAATTTAGATAGTTAATAGTTCATGTTACATTCATATATATGCATAATAAAATATTTAATCAGAATTTAAAACAATCGTTTTTCATTTTACAATCTCAAATATATTAGATAATGTGCTATTGAAATTAGTACCTAATACCCATATGCTACCGGAATAGCAAAATTCGATTTACTTCCTTAAATCATTTTTCTTTTTTAACAATTATATAAACAAATAAGTAGTTGGTATGAATGGATACCATATCTTTTAGAATTTCTCTGTATAGTGTATACTTAGAATACTATAAACTGTATAGTAATATAAATTATAATATATATTCTTATTGGAAGATACCTGTGTATGTTAATATACATTTCACTCCTATTAATGTACATTATACATAATAACTATGTACTTGAATTTTTCTCTTACAATGGAAATATTATTTATTAAACGTTACTTTTATCGTCGTTCTAACTACTTTTTGATGTTCATTGTTTGCATAATATTGTATTATATATTAAGCGTCATGGTTTATTTATTAGTGGTATCTATCATTCAGATTTCTAGGGTATTAAAAACACTTATTCGCCACGTTTAAGTATTAGACGCGTATATTGGTGGATGAATTGCTATTTTGTTGTTGCAATTAGTAATATTTATGTATAATATCATGTACATTGTATTTTATATATTAGACGATGTATTATAGGCATATATAGTAAACTCAGTGGAATCACAAAAGTTTAATGACTGTTTTTGCTGCCATGAAAATAGAGTAATGATACTTAACAATTGTTGCACATATATATGTATACACGATTATTATAATAAATTATTATTAATCCTTGTACCATTTTTTTGTTTCCGTTTTGTTAAATAAAATGTATTAAACAGTATAAAAATATTACATTATTAATGTTTGTAAAGTAAATAATAATTAATGTTATTATTTTTTTTTACGTTTACAGTTAAAAGGAAATATAGATGAGACAAACAGCACAGTTGAAATTGTTGATAAATTTAATAATTATCAAATATATCCCCGTATTATCAGTATTGTTTCAAAAGATTATTTTAAATTTTTCAAGGTAAGAATTTGTAAATTTTTATATTTGGCATTAACTTATAGTATTTACATAATTACACGATTAGGTAAATCTACGAAGAACTTGTCCATTTTGGTCAGACGACAGCAAATGTGCTATGAGATATTGTCAAGTGGAGTCCTGTCAGTTGGTAATAAATAATAATGATTTAAACAACTTGTGTACTTATGTTTAGCACAAATTTATTTATTTTGTATTTTATGGTTTTGCTTGTAGGACGATTTACCTATAGGTCTGAAAGGTAGTCATCATAGTTTGGTAGATGAAGATATGTCAATTAAGGTGAGAGTTTTGTAAACATTATGAATTATTAAGCTTTAGTTTATTTGAATTTTAGTATAATATTTAAAACAAAATATGAAAATGTATACATTATTATTTTTAAATGTACTATATTCCTATTTTCCTAGTGTGACTGCTGTTTTTGTCCTTCAATTTGGTCTCAAATTCACGATCAAAATAAAACGAATATATCGCGTAATCCATTCCATGTATTCCTTCAATTTAAAACGTTTGATTCATAATTTTGTGTTTTATTTTTTATAATTTAAAAATAATATTGAAACAAAATTTGTCTGCATAGTATATGGAAGGGCCTCAACAACAAGAGTGCGAAAAAGTAATGCAAGATGAATTGGGTTACATCAATACTACTATAAGGTTAGTTTCATATAATATACTAGTAAAAATATAAGTGTTATATTTATATTTTAGGATGGTAATGAAGTAATGTAATATCTTAGTTGTTTAACTGGCATGGAATTTGTACCATGCTGTGTTTTTCGATAATACATCGGAACTAATATGTTTGTTGAAATATGCCTGTTGAATACAACTTATTCATTATAATAACAAAAAATGTTAGAGAACTAATTATAAGTACTAAATTAGAGTTATAATATTATAAAATATAAGTGATATAATTATTTAAAATTTTGAAGATCCTCCTCCAAATCCATACTACGTATAGATTCTTGGGATGGCATTGTCGTTTTGATAAGATAGATCTTAACAATGCAACATATTTTTATAGAGTTTAATAATAAAATAATTTATCAAAAATATTTAACTTAAGTTAGATTCAAAATGTTCTGATTAATTTAACATTTTATATATTATCTAAAACTGCATACGTGTGCGAAATATTAAATTTAGTATTGATTTTTTAAATTTTGAACGAAATGATCGATATATATATTTTACAATGATATTTTTTCTTTTGCCTATATGGAAAAATAATAGAAAAATGCTTCAATATTCCATTTTAAGTGTTGGTTTTGGTAGAAAATTAAATATAGTTGGTATACATATAGAAGTAAAAAAAAAGTTTTATTATTAGCTTTTAGTCCAAGGTTAAAATTAATTTTAATATAATATAATAATAACTAATAAGTTAGTAAACTGTGTTTTCAGAATCTTTTTTCTTTTATTAAATTAAAATTTAATGCATACATTTCTTATTCAGTGATGAAGTACACTTGACTCCCTTTATATTAAACAGTTCAAGTGCACTTTCACAGACATATATTGCTATTTATAATTGATATGAAGCTTTAAACTTTAAAACTGTATTATTGGTTAGATAAACAGTTAACTATACATTTTAAATTTTTATGATATAACATTATATACATTAAAAATTATTAAAAATTAGGCAATTTGGTACCACTCTGTTTTACATTATAATTAGATGTCATATAGGTCATTGTCATGGGTATGTTAAATTTGAATTCAATGAAACGTAAAGTAATTTATTTTACTTTTAGTATATTATAATAGGTTAGTATATTTTTTCCGAAAATATTCCATTTGTTATATTATTAGTATTTAATCATTGTAATAATATGTATTTATTCCATTTTATATCAACTTTAATAACATCTTTTTGTAAGCTTTAAAAAAATAAAAATAGGTTTATAGTATAAATAGGTAATATCTTAAAATAAATTATAAATTTTATTGCGTATAGTAAAATTCATAATAATAGAATACTCGTTAAAGCTTAAGTTCCCGTGAATAATGTTTTTAAATTATAACAAAATAATCAACATATTGTTATTCGCCGTTAAAAACGTAATTTTGTATTAAATTTTCAAAATTAAGATAAAAAAAAAGGTTCTTATAAATTTCTAACTATAAATAATTAGCATTTTTTGGAAATTTTGAAGAATTTCTGATTTAATATATATATATATAAAACAATTGTCCATGTATTTTAAATACAATTTAATACAACGTAAGATCGATTTATGTTATTAGTTTGTATTGAATTCTCAAAAATTTTCACCCAACATAATTTTTTAATGACATTTATATAGAAAAAAAATAATAAGCGACACATTTCTCATGTCTAAAAATAGTTTAAAAAGATTTAAAATATTTTAAAAGTTATTATACCATGTATAAAAAATGATTATATAAACATTTTTTTGAGAATTTCAATTAAATACGGTTTTTTGTTTTTGAATAACAACAAAATACAAAAATAATTTAGGAAAAAAGTTATAATACGGGTGGATATCTATTGTAGTTAAAATTTTAAATATAGTTCGTAAAACGTATAAAAAATCTTGTACTAAATTTTTCAATCTTAAATAGGTATTAACAGAAAATTGTTTATGAATTTATGTCCTTGGACATAAAAAATTTTAAACCCATATGGATAATATACTAATTAAATATATTGCTGATAAAAAATTTCTCTTTCACCCCTTCCACTGCCGCTAATATATGGATTGAATATAATTGTGCTATTTGTTTTTAGTAATTATAATATATTAAATAGTTTATTGACTATTACTTATTAAATAAATTTTCATTAGTTTTATCACCTTTTCAAACAGATTCAACCATAAATATAAAAGTGGCAATTCTACTCATAAGTATGAAATAATAAGAACCTTAATATAAACTAAAGCTGTTAATATTTAATATTATGGAATTAAAAAAAAAAAAAAACATTCAACTTATTAATTAACAGACTAATAGCTTATAATTTAATTATAATGGACTTTTTCCAATATAGTGCTGCAGCAATGGAGGATTTTGCTCTCTGGCAAGCCCATGATGATATACAAGACATGTACTGTACGCTGCCTGACGATGATGGCGAAGCCGAGTATGTTGACCTATCTCTAAATCCTGAACGATATACCGGATATAAAGGACTTTCTGCTAATCGTGTTTGGAATACAATTTACATGGAAAATTGTTTCAGGTAAATGTTGTTGATTAATTTTGATGCAATAAAACTTAATGTTATTTTTTTTAGGCCAAAAAATTTATTTGAAGTCTACATTATATCAGCAAAGTTGACTGGTAATCACTAAATTACTTGTAATCTGTTTTAATTTAAATTTTATGCAAGACATTGATTGCAGGAATGTGTTTGGAGAAACGAGCATTTTATCGAGCTATTTCTGGTCTTCATACAAGTATTAATATTCATCTTAGTGCTCAATATCTATTATCAGGTATGTGTATAATTATAAATATTTACTTAGTTTTAATATTATCCTTCTGTTGGAATTTTGTACTTTCTTAGAGTTTTCGCCGCCATGATGATCTACCTTCATATTGCTTTGTTCTAAATTAACATCTTTCATACTTGAACTTAATTTCTTGAGATCTTCCATTTTATTCATCTATCTTTTTCTAGATCTTCCATTAGGTCTCTTACCTACTCTAAGTATCTCTTCCTCATTTTTGCACATAGAATTCATTAACCACTTATAAAGCTCTTGACTGGTGTTACTATGTTAATCTCATCTCTTTCTATGATTTCCAATTGAACATTTTTCTCTATACACCTATTTTGTTATTATATATAGGGCAGTAAATTTTTCTTTTTATTCTCTTCTTAAATGATGTTTCTATGTTGACCTATCATTCTTAACACTCAACGCAACTTCTAAATATTGAAACTCGTTAGTCAAACACTTCATCATTTTCCTCATCCATACTCTCTATACTCTAAAAATTTCATTATTATCATATTTTTTTCTATTTTTAGTCCTATTTTATTGACTTTTCTAAGGCTTGAACTGCTTGTTAGGTGTTATTTAATAAAAATTTCAACATTTTTAAGTTATCTGCAAACTTAAGTTTGTGAGTTCATTAATTTCCTATTGTTACACTTATTGCTTCTATTGCTTTTCTCTAACTACTTTTTCCAACTCTAGGTTAATAATATTGAAGACAGTGCATCCCTTTATTTCAAACCAACACTAGATAGGTAAGATATCGGCATAATTTTAGAATTTCTAAAGCTTAGTTATAATTACAGCTGCTCTACGGTTTAATAATTAAATTATATTATATTTTCTACTATTTTTGTATTAATTTATTATTATCATAAAAAAATCAATTACTACTAAACATTCATAACTAGCTTAATTTTGAGTTGCCACTAATATTTTCTTAGTCTTAGCCTGCTTTAAACTGGTTTATATTTATTTAAATATTGTATTCTCCAACCACATTTTAGTCAAGTTTATTAAGTTCTTTGGTATTCCAAATTCAACCATGATATTTTAAAGACTGTCTGAGACAGTCATGAACTTTTTTTAAGTTAACAAACTACTGCCATATATATTGCCAGCATTTGTATTTTTTTCTTTATTATTTGCCCAATTACTGATAATTGTTCTATCGTAAACCTCTCTTTTTAAAAACCACAGTGGTATTCTTTTAAATTTAAAATCTAAGATTTTTTTCCATGTATAGCACTATTTTTTTAAGTATATTTTATAAGTTAAGTTCAGTAATGAAATACCTTTGTAATTTTCACAAACCGTTTTGTTTCCTTTTTATGAAGTATTTTAATTTTTGCTTTATTTCAACTAATATCACCTGTTCATCCTTTCAAATCTTGCATAGTCTGAACATAATCCAATGTAATTGCTTGAGATCTTGACTCCATGTTTGATAAGTTTCTATGGTAAGTTTTCTGATCTAGGTGCGTGCCTTTCAGTTTTTTAGGCTAACTTTATGTGTTTCTTCTTGTGTCATTTCAATTTTGACTCAGTTCTTTGGAGAGTTTTAATTCCTTAGCTTTAAAGAATTTGGTTTTCTGGCACTTTTACTATTAGTAATTCTTTGAGTGCTTTCTCCACCTACTGGCTTTTAATTCTGGCTCTATGATTATTTCCCCATCATTTCATTTATAGATTTTAATATTGATTAAAAATATTTTTTGTCTGGTTGTTACAAATATTTTTGTATAAAATACATTTAATATTACCACTGTTAATAGATAAAGGATCAACATTTTTGAACCCATGTGGAACTGGCTTCTGGGGTCCAAATGCTGAAGAATTTGAACGTAAGTTTGGTCCAAAATACACTAAAGGCGAGGGTACACAGTGGCTAAGAAATTTATATTTCTTGTATCTTGTGGAACTGAGAGCATTACAAAAAGCTGCACCTTTACTCGAACAAGTAGAGTATTATACAGGAAATGATAAAGAAGATGAAACAACTCGACTTGCTGTCCATAATTTCTTGGGAATTATCAAGTTAGATTTTTTATTAGTTATTTTTTCCTTGTTTAATTTTTAAATTTATCTGATGTTTTTTTCCAGAAAATTCCCTCAACAATTTAATGAGCATACCATGTTTTTGGGTGGACAACAGGCACAAAAGTTAAAAGAAGAGTTTCGTCTTCATTTTCGTAATGTATCAACCATAATGGATTGTGTTGGGTGTGATAAATGCAGACTATGGGGAAAACTGCAAATACAAGGATTGGGAACAGCACTGAAAATATTATTTTCAAATAAAGCACGGACAAATGGATATAATGAATTATCTACCACTGTTAACAAGCACACATTGCAATTGGAACGTAGTGAAATTGTTGCTCTCTTCAATGCATTTGGAAGGTAAGAAACATTATCTAAAATATTTATAAATTTGCTGTATGTACATTGTACATAATAATATAATATACAATAATATAAAATATTATTCACCTCTACTAGTTATATGAATAGTTCAAATATTGTAGATATTTGTGTTTTTATTCCTTATATGTTTAATATGAAGCTATTTATTGTTATTTTTTACTTTTAAATTAATTTTTTTTTGGATTTAAGTTAATTTTATAAAATAAATTTTATTTCTGTGTATTTAAAGTATTTAAAACATAAAAATTTATTTGTATACTAAATTATGTTTATAGAATGGATCAAATCCATATTTTACTTATAAATTTTATACTTGTAGATTAGTAGTAGATACATGATCTAAAAGTATTGAATAGTTTAATAACAAATTTTTTGTCATGATACATATGTATGTTTCAATTTTATAGAATTTGAAGTTATTTTAATTTTATTTGTTGAAAAAATGCTGTAAATTAGATCTAGTTAGATCTAGTTAAAAAAAATGGAAAATATACTTTTCACTTATGGTAATTCAGTGTAATAATATATAATTATAGAGCATTTTTGGTTTTTTTTAAATCTTTATTAAGTTTTATAGTAATTACATCCATTATATACTAATAATTATGATATTATTTTAGGTTATCTACAAGTATATATGAAATAGAAAAATTTCGAAAACTCCTAAGGTAAACATGTTGAAATTGTATAAGAAAAACATCACTACATTCCTTCCTCACTTCTCTATTATAAGTTTTTAAATAATTGTAAGTATGTGATCTGTTAATAATTTTACATTAAACCATCAAGTAGACAAACATTCAATTGAATTGTCAGATAAAAAGTCTGTTGGTGGTATTTTATTGACTTTTAATGTTTTATTTTTCTTGGTTAACTGAGTTGAAATACTGACAGTCATAAAATAAAATCTTTTTAAAAGCTCTCTATGGAAGAACGCATAAAATATTCTAATGATTAATTGAAAAATGCTAATGTTAATTATAGAAACATTTGTTAAGTTAAACTTTTTTTGTAGTCTAGTCTTTTTAGAGTATTTTTTTTTTCAAATGTCTGTTTTATGTTTTATGTCTAAAATAGTAAATTTATATCTTTACAATTGTTATTTATATTTTGTATCTGGTTTTTATATTGTCTTAATGATTATATTAATTTAATCTTAAACTTTAATTTATAAGTTTAATCAACTATAGTATACTCAATACTCATGCACAAAATATTTTTATATGTATATTGATGGTGCGAGGTTGTATGTAATTTTTAACATAGGACATAACATTATATTTGTCATTCTAAAAATAATTGTTAAAACATCTAAGAGCTCAAAAAGAGGCTTTTACATAATTTATATATATATATATATATATTTGACAAAATAGAATATAATTTATGTAAAAATAGTGGCTACTGTGATATGGTATGGAAGGTCTGAACAAATTAATCATAATAATGTATTGTTTAGTCTAGATTCATGTAGAATTTGTGTGTTATTGATTTATGTATGTATGTGTTATGTATCTGTGTATGTATTTATTTATTTATTTATTTATTTATTTTATATTTTATACATTTAAGTTGATAATTAATATGCAAATATGTCAGATAGCTAACTGATAACTACTGTTATAAATCCTGTTGATTACTAAAATATTACTGTTGTTTTAATAAAATAATCAAGTCTATAAGGAAAAACAAAAAATTTTAAATTTAACAAATTGTGAAAATGTTTACTCAAAAAACTATTGTTTAATGTAAAATATTGCATTTGTAATATTGGAACAAATGCATGTAAATAACTGATGGATGGTCTGGTTACTGTCATGCCTAATGCTGCACAATAATTCAACCCAAAGAATAAGCATTAGACAAGAATATTAAGAATTTGCTATAAAACCGTCTTAAATATGTTTTATAATTTTAAAATATTTTAAGCTGTCTTATTCTGTATTGTAGATATAGTTAAAATGTCCAGAATGATAGTCGATAATATGTCTAATGCGATAATATTTTAATAGTTTTAGTAGTAATTTAGCAGAAAATAATTTCCCATTAATTCATTTTAACATTCTCAGATACCAAGTAACCCCCAAAATACGAATTTCCTTAATACCGTAAATCCTTCAGTAGATTTGTATAAACTTGAATGAGCCTTGCTTATTTTATACTATATAATTTTATTGGAATCTATGGGCTATGGTTGTCAATTATTGATATTTTGCATTTTATGAAACCATAAAAAAGAGAAAGAATAAATAACTAAACATTTATTGATTTTTGTTACTATAATTTAAATGTTAAAATTTATAAATAATTATTAAAAAATTAATAAAAATACTATGACATTTTTAAATTAAAACCTAACTTTCCTCGATCGAATGGATGTATTTTCCATAAAATACCTTTCTGAATGAGATATTATTTAAAAAAAATACTATATAAACCATAATTATTATACTTGTGAGTCTCTAAACATTCATACATAGTAAAATAGATAAAAAAAATTTTTAATAATCTCTCATTCTAATGGTTGTGTTCTTGAAAATAAATCTATTTGATCAATAAAAATTTGGTTTTTAAAAAACAATAAATGTCTTAAAATTTACATAAAATTAAAACGAAATTACTACTATTCAGAGTATATTTTAGTTTAGGGTATATTTTAAGGATACTCATGGGACTCCCCTCTCCCCATTCACCATATTTTATACTTTTTTTATTATTGAGAGTATTAGTCAGGCAATTGGTGACTCGCTAGCTTTTTTTATCTGATGTCCTTTTTTTTTCGCTTTCTATGCCCCTTGCCTGCTTGATTTTTTTCTTTTTGATAGTATATTTGGTAAAATCTTAAACAGTATGTACCCCTCCCTTCACCACCAAAAAAAAAAAAACAATTCTAAATACGTTACTGATTTTGGTGAGTGTTATAAATCCTGTTATTATTTACTCCAGCTGACTGTATTAAACGTAATTATTCCTCTAATTATGAATGTTCACGAATATACCTACCTATCTAACAATTAACTTAATAAAATACTAAAATAAATCTGTTTTATCACTAATATTTTATTCAAAATGGAAAATATTGTATTGGACTGTTAAATATCTATTTCATAGATATGTTAATTTGCCAATCAAATTTGTATAAATTGTTTATTACAATAAACGATGCTGTATGGTAGTTAAGCTATATGAAAACAGTTCGACCAGTTTGGTAGATAAATATTTGAAAAACGATAGATATTAATCTGTACTGATTATTGTACTATAAATAGATAACTCAATCTAGTCTAAACCGTGGTCATCCATGGTTGTGGAAAGAAGTGTGCTTCAAATGACCAAATGATTAAAAGTAAGGCCATATTTAGAATTTTGGTACCTCTTTAAACTTATAAAAAAACACTCTTTTAAGGGGTTGGTATAAGGTTGCCATATTTTATTTCACTTAAACTAGGACAGACATTCAGGTGGGAAATCTTACCACTTCTCCACGGTCAAATACCTGCAGTTGTAATTTCCTATTTATCCCCATTGAAATACTGAAATAGCTTAAATATCACTCACAAAATAATACAAATTATTCAGCGCAAATGTCGTTGCATAATACGATTATTAAATAAAAACTAACTTAATGTTACAAATCGGAATTAGTAATTGACAAATATTTCGTTTGGCGATGAAATAATAACAAAAATTGTCGTTGTATGAAATATTTAAACGGAAAAACAATATGTAAATACCATACAAAATATTCACGATAATTAATAATATACCTAATTGTAGTATAATTCTAAAAAAAATTGTTGCTCAAGACACTTTATTGTAACGCTTTATTGAAAATCGGTAGTCGGGATTTAGTAAGTACTAGTGTCCAGTGTTAAAAATAAAATTATAAAATAAAAATCCTTGTATTTTATATAAACTGTACATAAATAGTAATGAGGGTTGATGTTTATGTGGTTTTGAATCTTTCCTATTTAAAAAAAAATACCTAATTTATACTAATTTGTATAAATATACATGTAATATGTATGAGAAATAAAATCAACCACTTTCTCTTGGGAACACGACGAATTGTTTTCAAACAGACTACTGTACCTAAATAATAATAAACAGACTAAGAATTGGGCGCACCAACCTAACACACAAGCACATAATGGCTGGACAAGACCAACCACTATGTAACTCAGGGTGGTCCGATCTTTTGTAATTTGCGAACCAATTACACTTTCATAAAAACATTAAAGGTCGTCAAAAAAAAAAAAACTATTGTATTATTATTTATATTTTATTTTATTACAAACATATTTTATAATGCACAAATTATTACATCACAGATTAATATTAACATATAATTATAATGATTAGGTTACGTATACTTAGAATTTACAATTAATAAATGATGTAATGATTGGCATTGTTTCTCGGAAGCCAATTTTTTAATATCAATGAACACTGTGGTGGTTAATCTTAATTCTTATGCACGTTTCTAAAGACGAATTTTCAATACGATCAATGTAGAAAACGCCGATTCACAATATTATATGTACTATGTAGGTATTTCCAAATAATGAGAACATTTCAAAAGAAAAATCACAGCTCACTGTGACTGCTATACAAACACGATACCTACATACGTACTTAGAGAGCTCAATTGAATCATGGTTTTGGACGTTACTCATTAGTCATTATACCATTTATACCTACATTTTATAGTTTAACTCTGAAAATCTTAAAAATTATACGTCATATTACGATTTTCGTTATTATATAATTATGTTTTTTTAATTTTTTTGATATAAGTCTTCTAGGGGACCAAAACAAAAGGCTTCGAGGACCGTACTCGGCCCCCGGGCCGTGGGTTGATCATTCACCATACTAGCAGATACAAACAAACATATTTTCACTGAACGTCTTAAAATACAAAGAATTCCAAGATAAACTTAATACTGCATACAATTTCTGTAAATATATATGTACCAAGGTATATATATATTTGTATAATTTATTTATGTATTTATATATTTTTAAATGTACTGTTATATAAAATTGCTGCTTTTTATAATTCAAAAAATCGTAGTGAAGTATAAAATAAATAATGATTGGTTATGATTTTATAAGTTTAAGTGGGCGATCTGATAATTCCTGTAATTCATGGGTTGTATTTGAGGTAGGTAGGTAGTAAAAAAAAATTGAATATAACTTAAAAAGTGTTAAAATATTAAAAGTCAAATTATTTTTTAAAACACCAGGTAAGTTGTAATGATTTTTTTATAAGAAATAAGGCTAAGAAACTAACGAGTACTTCCTATCAATGAACAAGTTAAATTTAAATTATGAACATATTTTAAAAAAAAATAATGGCTTTTATCCTATAGTAAAAATTTTTAAATTGATACCTACCTATATCATAAGTATAATAAACAGTTTGCTTAGGCCTATTTCATTAGTATTATTTAATTGAGTCGTACATTTTTTTTCTATTATACGATTTGGGCAATTAAATAATAAATATAATACATGTATGTATTATAATCCATTATTAATTCTGAATTTTTTTTTTTTTTTTTGTAGTTGGTTATCTTCGAATTTATTTTGTATTTTTTGAATAAATAAAAAAAAAAAAATCAAAAGCATTTGCAGCAGTTTAAAGAATAATTTTTGGGTCTAGTAAAAGGAGGTTTGTTAAATCAAAAACCTCTTTAAGATTTCATTCCAAAAAATTGCATAAAATGCCATTTCAAAATTCAAATTTATACATTGGTTTGTAAAGTGTTTAGATTAGATTTTAACAATAACTTGATTAATTTCTATTAGAGCTGCTTTTATAAAATCGTAACTAATTAGTACATTAAGATAGCTTTTTTACATCTACAACAGGCCAACGGATCTCATTAAAATTCTTTAGAATAAAGAAATACACATTTATTTTTTTTTTAAACAGCGTTACCTACCGCATAGAATTATTGGAATTTCAGAGCATTGTTGTTTAAAATTTAGATACTTTGATATAACTTTCATCTGCGTGCGTATTTAAAAACAGATTAATATAGGAAACATAATTCTGTACTCTAATAATAATAGGTTATAGAAGAATGGTACTATACTGGCATTCTTGATACTATAATTAGTATCATTAGTAATATTCATACATGTGCTTATACTTTCATTGCATCTAAATTTCATGTACAATAATAATGATAAATAAACTTTAAATTTTTAAATTTCCTCTAAAAAATTGACAATAACACACAACAATTACATTAGGTTTTATTTAAACACAAGCAACACTCAGACAAATTTACTTCATAAGTTCTACTTTCTACTAATTGGTAGGAACTAGGAGTAATTTATCCCATCCTAACCTCCCTTTAATAAGGGATCGACTAAAACTAAACCCTATTATTAACATAAGAAAAAGTATATAGATATCATAGAGTACTCTATGATATATATATAAAACAGTTTGGCGCCAAAATCCATGTCATTGATTTTATTTGCACCTTCGTTACTACTTACTAAATTTTATATTATTGTTGAAGCTATTAAATGCGGATTATCACGTGGCTACTAAATATTAATAAACACACAGTCAAACGTCAATAAAGGTTACTGATTTCAGTGATTTCAAATTTATATTATGAAATAAGTATTTAAAGTAATAATTAACTGTACCATAATGAAAGTACCTCTGTTTTGGCCAAAAACTTTACTGAGGTAGCGTGGCCGAGCGGTCTAAGGCGCTGGTTTTAGGCACCAGTCTCTCTGAGGCGTGGGTTCGAATCCCACCGCTGCCAAAGGAATTGATATTTTATTCGCAAATACTATATTTCGCAAACTACTTTTTACTATTATTATTATTTATTACGTTTCAAAATATATCTTAAAAAAAAAAACTAATCTAGAATTGCAAAAATCTTTAACATTATAAACATTTTTATATAGTAAAAGGTGCTTTTCAGATTTTTGTGTCGTCACAATAAAAAAATAGTCGCAAAATTTTCCTTTAAATATATTATTCAAAATGTCCATGGAAAAGCTATAAGGAATATATTTTAATTTAAGTAAAATGGTAAATGTCTTAACTGTGAAAGAAAATTCAGAAAAATTCAATTTTTTAAGTTACCTTCAATTTTTTTTCAAAATCAGTCTCATATTGTGTAATTATATATTAATATATTATACAAAAATTAAAAAATAATAATCGGACTATATCGTTTATAAGTTATCTATGAAAAACTTCAATAACTACGGTTTTTAAAAAACACATAGTTAAAAAAAAAACAATTCCTAAAATTAAAAATGTTCAAACATTTTTTCTTCGAATTATGTAGTTTTTAATGTCTTCAAGCTATATTTTATATTTTTATGTTAAAATAAGTTTATGAATTATTATGATAATTTTAAAATTGTATCTTATTTTTTTTTTTAATGGTCGCTTTGTTGCGTCATAAAATATATTTATAAGTATATATTGTTTTAATGTATAATTTATTATATTATAGAGATGTAATAATGACATCATAGATATGTACATATAATGCATACTACAGTATTATGAATTATAAATTTAAATGAAAATTGGATGTTTCTGGTTGGGTACCTTTTCTATGGTTTTTACATACCTACATCATTATAAGAAAATAATATATATATATATGTGTGTGTGTGTGTTCGATATAATGTTTAGATAAATATGAACTTTGTGCACTTGCATGACGCAACTGCAACAACGGCCGATTGGATAAAACTATCACTAAATAGTAAATGGTAAATACCTACTATACAGTAACAACACATTTTATAATTTTAGCAATGGTACGTAGTACGTACTTAGCATAATATTATGTACAATATACAGCGTGATATATTCTTTGATTGAACGCAAACATCACAATATTATTATCTACCAATAAACATGTAATTATATGGTTATTGGTTACACTCATTAATTTGCGGTATTATACATTCGTGTAGGTACGTGTGCAATATAAATAATAATTAATATTACAATTACAAATTATAATAATATCGGGACATCGGTTACGATATGAACACCGTTGATTAATTAATTTATATTTTTTCTAGCGTTGCTTGCAGCCATCGTGCAGACATGCAGTGTTCAAAAACTATTAGATGGTGTTTCGTGCTTATAGCTGTTCTGTTCATTTTAACATTTGTTGTTTGTTTAAAATTTTCCGACCATTTTGAGTTTACCCTTTAATCCGTTTTAACATCAAAAACTAGCGTACAAATTCGACGGAAAGACTAAAATATTTTTCTCGGCCGAACGTACCAACATGTCATGTATAGATATAATAACTGCATTTAGTATAATTATGAATACATTTCTGAGATAATAATACGTACCCACCATATATCGTACGCAAACGGATTGACGATGGAAATTTCATTTTAAACATATAGTACGTTTATGCATGATCACGTAAAACGGTAAACTATATTTAATTTATTACTGTATGACTGTATGACTCGATTAGTGTAATATATAAATTAAATATAGTTAAAATATAGGCAGTGTTTATTTTCAGACTAAGGTGTGCAGACAGCATATTATAATATATAATACAGTTGAATATACACACATCAGTACATCATCATCGCATGATGGTTATCACTTGCGACCGAGTTGAAAAACTGCAGAAATTTATGCCGTATTTAAATTATATTATATTATTACGATTAGAGTATTAATAAACATTATATACCATGAAAAGAATATAATTATTTTAGTTTGTGATATGAATATAATGCTTTAAAATGACATATTACATAGGTGGCCATAAATGGTGTCGTCGATGACGGGATCGAAGGTGATGAGTAATGATAACCTTTATATTTCCAGCGTGACCTGTGGATCCGCAGTATTCAACATTTATGCATCGCCAAATTTGATCACGATAGCCGAACAACCATCAAAATATCAATAATAGTGTATAATAAACAGTTATAATTGGTACAATTAGAAACGGATCAATGAGCTATGAGGGTTTTAGATTCTATTATTATAATAAATATGTATTAATGTATTATTAATTTATATTAACCTATTTTTGAACATTAAAATACTAAACACTTACTTCTGATTATATGAATAAATTATACTACGTTTTCAATTGATATCAATAATAAATCAAATTTGGAAGTATTAAACCTTTAATAGAATATTATGTAAACCAAACAATTGTAGCAATTTTCTACTCTCTTAACTAAATTTAATATTACATATTTTAATGTTTACCTACACAAACATTTTAATTTCATATTTCATATTTTCATACTTGATATTTTGTTACCTTCATTAAAATATGTAATTATGGCAATCATGCGTAGATTATATTGGCAAGTTATTGACATTAAATCATATTATCACAATATTTTTTTAGTATTTCAAATAGTTTAAAAATACTTTTTCTTTAAATTTTTATTCTGGCATACTGAATAAATATATTTATTTTGTTCGTTTTACTGTTGTAATGATCAATATTTTTGTATTTAAATTTAACTATTTTAATTTTTTTTTCTAATGTAATATTTTATAATTATTTTAAGATTTCATCAAAAATGTAGATAAAAGAGCTAACGATAGTTGGTCTCGATTCCGATATTCTTAAACCTATTAATAAGTTATTTATTTATGGCCATCTGAGCATTAACTATTTTACTTAAATAATTTTCATTTTTAAAATAAGATTGAGTATCTATCTAAAGTGATTAACGTTGGTTCGATTACTTCAATATAAAATTTATTGAACTATAAAAAAGTATTTATATCTACTTATATTCAAACCCAAATGACACTAAAAGATTTAAATACATTTGAAAAGTAAAAAAGTAAAAGTCGTTTTTATAGTTAACTAGATATACACATTATCCAGCAAATGTTAAAAACTTAATAATCACAAATATGTAGGTATCTACTATACAACAATTAGGTAACAGTTAAGACACTTTATAGGTACATACTGTAAGCTGAGCTTAGACAGCTTTGATTATATTATTATTATTAACGTATCAATAACTTAAAAGCATGAATAAAAAAAATGTTGGATTTTAGACTGTCTTAAAAGAAAGATTTTTTGCTTATAATTATTTAATGAGTTTGACTTAATAAAAATAATGAATTTTTATATTAAACAAACTGTCGTCTGTCTTTCTTAATTTAAATTATACAATGAATTTTCAAATTTGTAATAATTTACTTATTAGCTTTTAATATACAAAATAATATACGCTTTGTTTAAAAATATATTAGGTACCTTTTTAAGAAATGCTTAAAAATTAATTAAAATTTTTAATTTTGATTGACAATAATAAACTAACCATTTTATTTACTAGTAAAACTTAATTTTAAATAATGATTAAGCTTTAAAGGTAAAATGTATTCATATTTTACACGTACCTATGTTATTTAATATACCTATTATCATTATTAGTTGTATTTGATTAAAATTTCAAATTAACTTATAAGTATCTCATTTCTTGTAAATTTAAATTTGTCTGATGACAGACAGTTGAATAAATCTTATAAATTTCCTTAAAGAAGATTACTTACTATTGATACTCCTACTATATTTTCTTATATTTGACAAAATGCTGAACATGTATATACAAAACTATGTTAATTTCAATGTAATTTTGTCCTTTTCATTGTCTCTTTGTTTAATTTATTATATTCTAGGTCCTAGAGTTTAGGTCAGTGGTTTTCAACCTTTTTAACAATGTAGCACACTTCTTCTTCTACAAAATGTTTGTGGCACACCAATTCATATATACGTGAAGCATATATTTTTATATATAATACATATTAATATTATATATATATACAAAATTAACTCCATTAATAGATTTATCGCGGCACACTGGTTGAAAACCATTGGTTAAGGTGATGGTAATGTGATTTTATAACTATAAATCATAATAAGCTACATTATCCTAAATTTTTTTTTACTTTTTTTTATAAGTACAAAGATAGAAATATTAAATATTATAATGACTAATACTTAGTGTAATAGTATTGGCCCTAGTCCCTATGGCCCCTATGGCCAATAGGTATATTCATATTTATTATTTCTTAATATTTGAATATTACAGCGGCAATCAGCATTATGGTTGTACACTTGTACTGTTGTACCTACTGTAGTTTTGATTGTACTCTCAGTGGAGAATCTGTTGTCCATATTATGTTTTCTTTGTGTACACTGTACCAAACAGTGTGACCTTGACGGGCTACCCAGCGTTTTATCAATTTTTTTTTATTGATATTTTCAATTGAATTTTCGTCGACGTCATTTGCACGGTATAGCAATATACATTATATAGTATTATAGTAATAGTGTAATACTACTTTTACTATAGTAGTTCATACCTTATTGTGTTTTTCTAATTTTTGTAGTGTCCAACACTACAACTCGACGTTTTGTTTTACTCTTTTTGCTCGCGTCTAAATAGAAAACACAAGTTTGCGAAACTAACGTGTGAAACGATAATAATAATTTATAACAACTAATTATTTACAGTAATCTAATTTTGTGGTGACAATTTTTCGTTAATCATTTTTAATTTCGCATTCTTGGTTTGTTCCGAGCATATCTGATCGGAGATTCAACCGGGTACGGCGTCCGGTCAGGACATAGCGTGTTGATTAACGCATTATATATTTAACAAATTACGATGGATGAAGAGTACGATTGTATTGTGTTGGGCACCGGTCTCAAGGAGTGTATCCTGTCAGGTATGCTGTCGGTTTCAGGTAAAAAAGTATTGCACGTTGATCGCAATAAGTACTACGGCGGGGAGTCGGCGTCAATCACGCCGCTGCAGGAACTGTTCCAGAAGTTTGGCGTAAAGGAACCTGATGAAAAAGAACACGGGCGCGGCCGTGACTGGAATGTCGACCTGGTGCCCAAGTTCCTCATGGCCAATGGTTTATTGGTTAAGCTGCTTATTCATACAGGCGTTACGCGCTACTTGGAGTTCAAGTCAGTCGAGGGCAGTTACGTGTATAAGGGTGGCAAAATCTATAAAGTACCTGTCGACCAGAAGGAAGCATTATCGTCAGATCTGATGGGAATATTCGAGAAAAGGCGGTTCAGAAATTTCCTGATATTTGTGCAAGACTTCCAGGAGAACGACCCCAAGACGTGGAAGGATATCGACCCGCAGCGCATGTCTGCGTTTCAGCTGTACACCAAGTTTGGTTTGGACAAAAACACTCAGGATTTCACTGGTCACGCTCTAGCTCTATATTTAAACGATGACTACATCAATGAACCTGCCGCCAATTTGATTAGACGCATCAAGTTATACAGTGATTCTCTTGCACGTTATGGAAAAAGTCCTTACTTGTATCCTTTGTATGGGCTTGGAGAACTGCCTCAAGGTTTTGCTCGTCTCAGTGCTATTTATGGCGGTACTTACATGTTGAATACTCCTGTAGATGAAATTGTTTTTGAAGGATCAAGTGTTGTTGGCATTAAAAGTGGTGGTGTTGTCGCTAAATGTAAACAAGTGTTCTGTGACCCGTCCTATGTTAAAGATAAAGTGAAAAAAACTGGTCAAGTAATTCGTTGTATATGTTTGTTGAATCATCCTATACCAAACACTCGTGACGCACTTTCTACTCAGATCATAATTCCACAGAATCAGGTTAATCGTAAGTCTGACATCTACGTTTCGTTAGTAAGTAACACCCATCAAGTGTCTGCACAAGGATGGTTTATTGCTATGGTTTCTTCCAAAGTAGAAACTAGTAATCCAGAATTGGAGATCAAGCCTGGTTTGGATTTATTGGGACCCATCAAACAGAAATTCGTATCAATATCTGATTATTATGAACCTATCGATGATGGAAAAGATAGCAAGGTATTTATTTCAAAGTCATATGATGCTACATCACATTTTGAGACAACATGCTTGGACGTTTTGGATATTTACAAACGAGCCACAGGAGAAGAATTTGATTTTTCTAAAATTAAATTAGAAAGTGAAGATGTCTAATAATTTACAAAAATGCATTTTTATCATATACCTAATATTATTATATCTCAAGGAGAAATTGTTTCTATTCCATATTATCTCATAATCAGTTTATTGCCAAATATTGATCTAAATCTTTTTTGAGAATTGAAAATATCATTGCTATCAAATTGTAACATTTTTCCAATGGGTGAAGTAGGTACCTAAAAAGTTAAGAATATTATAGTAGAAATATCTTATTAATTTAAAACAAAGTTATTGTCAACAACCCTTTAGATAATCATAAAAATATTTAACATATATGAATATTATACAACTTTTTGTAATTATTATTATTATGTTTCTATTTTCATTCTTTTTGTAAAAAAATATTTATTTTAAGTTGTACCTGTTTTTTTTTTTTTTGTCATTTTTACATTATTGGCATTATCACGTGATTATGTTTATGGGCGATTTTCTTTATATATGAAACATTTCGTGGTGTCAATATACAATTTTAATAAACCTACAAAAATTTTAATTTTTGTGTGCTTTTTCTGTCTGCTTTTGAGTCACATTGACCGTTATGCATAAGTATGTTTATATTTAGCTTCAATTGGTAATTTTTAATAGTTTATTACTGTTAACAAACATAGTACAGTTTTGTTTTTTTTTTTTTATTACTATCGTCAACAGATATTTAATCAAATCGTTTAAATAGTATTATAGAACTGATGTCAACAAATGATATAAAAATATAAAAATTAATATCTTAACAACTTTTGAAATTATGTTTGTGATTGAATCACGATTTGTTTATACATTGATATAAATTTTATGTTATGTATTTATGAATATTGAGATACGTAATGTTATGAAGAATCAATTGTAGAAAAATGAAAACTAAATACAAATTTTACTGAATTATATATATTGTTTGCAGTTTGTGTCTAGTGGATAAATATTTCCAGTGATAATGTCTTAGAGGCCATCAAATCATCATTCACGTTAGCTGATAGCAGTCATATTCTATGAACTCTGAGTATTATTTAGAATAAAGCTAATGTTTATTTTATCTTGAAAAATATTCATCCTTTTTTTTTTAATATTGAGAATTATGTACAAATTATCATGTTAATAAATTAAAACATTTAGTTCAAACACAAGTTCGGGAAAGGTCACACAAAACACTATTTTAAATGTCATTGCTCAAAACATTTATAAGTCAAATATTGTACAGATTATGATTATGCCGTGTCACATCTGTGAATATGAAACTATACAGTATGGCATTCTACTATCTTAAATGATGAAAAAATTTAACATTTCAATGTAATTATACATTTTGATCTGTACACATTAAACAAAAGTACTGTAAATGCACTTATAATCTAAGTTCCAACACATAATATTGATGTAGTCTTATTGCTGTCAAATTACATTTGATATGATATGATTATTATACAACAATTAGATTTTAATAATGACGTAAACTATTATCAAATTTTAAAATAATTTTTATTATTCAATAACAAAACTATGACATAAAGTATGTACAATCTTATATATTAGGTTTAGCTGTTCCAAACAACATTCAAAAATCAACTTAGAAAATCTTAACTTTTTGATTAGAATTAAGACTTTTTAAAATTTATCACAAGATTTTTCACATTGCATGTAGTTTCTTCAAGTTTAGATTTAATATTATTTTTTTCCTCAGGATCATCGGCTTTCAAAATTTGTACAACAAGATCTTAAAAAAAAAATGACATTTTCGTTAATAGATACCTTAAAATAACAGGCATCTTATGAATCATACCATGGTAATTTTGTAGAACAGAAAAGTCTTGATCGCTTATATGTTTTTGTAAAAATCCCAAAAGAACAGATACAAATTTCCCAGAGACTTTAATCATTGTCTGTGTAATAGATTGGAAAAGTATTTGTGTAGCAATTAACAGCACTTGTGCACTATCATCTTCAATCTCTGATAACCATTTCAAAAGAAGTTGACGATTATTTTGTAAATGTTCCCTGTCCAGCAACAAGTAATTAAAAATTTGATATGGGTAAAATTATTGAATAATAACAAAACATGTGAAGGTAATAACTAATAATATTTTTACTAACAAGAGTAGTATAAAATATAAATAACTTAAAAATACTTCATGTATGTATTTATTTAAGTACCTTTCTTTTTTACGATCATGTTTTTTTTGTACTATATCTACAGAAGATAATAACTCATCAATAGCTTCATAGAATTCATCAATCAGTTTAGATGTCAATGATTTTTGTAGTTTTTCAATGGCATCTTCAACTTGTTTATCATATTGATTAGATTTTGACTGAAAAATAATTAAATTTAGGCAATTTAGTTTAAAATAAAAATTAATATTACTGTTAGGGAACAATACCTCTGAGTTATGTTCTTTATTTTGAGTCACATAGCACTTTACTATTTCTATAATCTCTCCACCAACAGATTTTAACAAGAATGACATGAGCTGTCCTTGAGTTTCAGCACTATCAAATTTTTGAATACCTTTAACATATAAATGCAAATCGGACAAAAGTAATAAAAGTTTGTCTCGAAAGTCCTGATGCACTTTACGCCGATCACCCATTCGGTTTGCCATTAATTGATCATAAATTTCTTGTGATCTCTTTAGAGCTTCTTTATTCAAAATTCTAAAACAATAAGGCATAATAAATCTTATGTATTTTTATTTAATTATAATAAATAATATATATTACGGGTAAAGATATGAAACAATATTTTCTATTAAAGAATTCTTTTCTTCATCAACATCTTTAAATGTTTCTTCATTTTCTAAATTTTCTTTAATTTCATCAGAGTTAACAATTTCTATCATAAATTGTTCACTTGCAGTAACTTTATTTTCCTGTTCGTCAGAATCAGAATCACGTTGTTTTGATTTTTGTCCATATTTTTTTTTAACAGCTTTAATCTTAGTTTCTCGTCCCTAAATAAGATATACTTGTCGTTTAATTATATTGTAATGAGTAAAAATAAATAATAGTAGTAAATTAATAAAATAAATTTAACTATTAATTAAGACAGCTTAAAAATAACACTATTTTAGATTGGCTAATTAATATTTATAATTAAATTAAGTTTTTTTTTATATTCTAATTAAATTTAATTACTTGTGTTCCACCACCATGTTTTCCACCAGTTTTTTTTTTACGTTCTTCTTTACGGCTGAGCTCAGGATTTTTATCTTCTACAAGCTTTTGTTGAATTTTCCAATTTATCAAAGCATTTGCATATTCTCCAGACTCAATAATCTGAAATTAATATGATTTTTACTATTAAGTTTAATGTTAATAACTATTTTAAAAAATATTGGCTATACAACAATAATAGTTAACTATACCTTTTTTACTTTGTTATCTAATGTATTGATTATACGTTCAGATTGCAGCTCTAGAAATTTATCAGTTACCAATGCAGTACCATCAAAAATTTGAAAACCCTTTGATAATTTTTTTTTTTTTAACAAATATTCTAAAACCAATACTCCGTCTTTTGAGTCAAAAACTACTGGCACAAAATCCTAAATATAAATTAAATACTAAATACAATTCAATACAAAAATATTTTGAATAATTGGCAAAATAAATATAGGAAATAAATCTAACCATAATATCAATCCAAGTTCCGCTAGAAATACATTCTTCTAAAGCAACAGAAATATCATCTAATATTTTAGGACCAATAGAGCAAGTAGTCAATGCAATTAATTCTTTACCAAATTGCATGCGTGATATATAAGAAATTGGATCAGTTATACCAACGCTATTCATTGCTTCATAATCTGCAGGTATTTTTAAGTAAAAGTGTTAAACAGTTATAAATAGTCAATTGCCACCAGGTTGTAAGAACATTGTTCACTTAGCAAAAAGACATTTTAAATTATACTTAAAGGGTTATGAAACAGACTCTTTTTCATGCTAAAAAGATCTGCTTTTATTTCAGCGCATTGGAATTTTTCTTAAAAAAGCCATTTTTGATGACAAAAAAAAAGTGGCAATTGTTTGCTATCCCTGAAAACTGGTGACAATTTGACAATTGTCGTAGATTATTAAATCTCATTTAATTCTAAGATGATTATATACCTAAATAGTTATTGTTGGTATAAAAATTCATAACCCAATTATGTAGATTTTTAGTGTGTATATTTGGAACATAAGTACATGAATTTCCAATTCGATCAGTCAACATACCGGGTATTTGTTTTTCTGCTAGCAAATTCTCAAATACAGCTAAAATACACAAATTAAATAATTATTATACACATTTTTCTTTTTAAAATAATTAATTTTATTAATTAGGATAAGTTAAATAAAAATGATAACCTGTTATGTAACTTAAATGTATGATGATTTGTTTTACTAATTGTAAGTACACGATTAAATGAGTTGTATTAATAAATAATATTTAAATACTACCAATTAAATATTATATAAATAATAAATTATATTGAATAGGGTAAAAGTAAAGATAAAAAAATCATTGTACTTACTAAAAAATTCCTTTTCATCAAGGGAGCATTGATTTATTATAGCTGTACATAAGACTGGACGAGTAATAGCTAGAAGAGCTCCTCTAACAATTCTTTTAATAGAATTAAAGTAAGAATCAGTATAATACAAGTAAGGATTGTTTTTATTTTTGTGTAGATTAAATCCCAAGTTTTTATTGCGTTTTTCAAGTATCTAAATTTTAAATTATTTATTATTATTATTACAATTATAAGTAAATACAAAAAAAAATTGTTATATTACCGAATCAATTATATCTACAGGCAAATCAAATTGCTGAGATATTTTTAATGAATTTATGTGTCCATTCTGTTCTAGCTTATCAAATATGTCTTCAGCAATCTGATTTAAATAATTCAATCCAATCAATTGACCATGAACAATACAATAATCATCAGGTTCATCCTTGACTAACTTTTCACATAAGTTTGATGCAACATCTGGATCCACTTTTAAAGCTCTAGCAGCATCCAGTATGTTTATACGACCTAGAAAATATATTCTTATAACTCTGATTATTAAATATGTACCTGTTATTTTTTTATCTCAATTTTACAAACAATGCAATATCAATTTTTAAAACAGAAGTAAATTTTTTTTTAGTAACTTCAATAAAGTATAATGTAATTTTCTTCTTTAATTTTATCAATATTTCATATATTTGTTAACAACCTTATAAATTTTATTATACAAAATTATTTATTGTTAAATAATCAGTTATTTAAATAAATTAAGTCAGCAAGAGGCAGACATTTTGCACAAATTATTAACAGAATATTTTTTTTAAATATTTAGATATGTTTAATACACACCTCCTTGAACATAGGCTTCATCTTTTAATTCCTTTGTTAAATGTTTCGGTGTTACATATTCTTTACCATCAGTTGTGAATACTACGTCTAGTAATTTAGTACTGATCAATTTTGCAACTATTTCTACACAATTTCTTTCCCCTAGTCTTAAAAGATGAAAAAATAACCAAATTAAATGTAACTGCGAGTCTAATCCATAGGAAAAGTACAAAATGACAAAAATTACCTTTGGGACGAAGTGGTTAACTGAATACGTTGGAAGTCAGCTGCCAACAATTTTACTTCATTCCAATCATTCGACGACATGATGAATCAATCTAGTTTTCAAATTATTATTAAAATACTCAATATTAAAAATATAATAGACAATATCGATCAGTAAATGATCCGTTATACGAAGTTTAACGTCTATGGTTTACCTAGTTTTAATACCAATTTCCAATTCCCAATTAAGATATTAAAATGTTTCCACTCAGAGTGGTCAGTACCTGTTTCAGTCGTAAGTTTCTAACTCTTAACATAGGTATTATTGATAATAATATTGCCACGATAAACGTTAGTGGTTGCATAGTGCCACGACATTGATAATAATATTATCAACCGCGAGTTATCCAAGTCTTATATATAAATTATAATAGGTATACATTATTCTAAGACCGTAATATTATAATTTATGAACCTTACGATCTGCGGGTTCCCGATTGACAAACTCTTTCGACAAGAGATCTAGCAATTAGTATTATAGTACATTAAATATTTTCATGCAGTTTGTAATAATACAATATTTATTTTTTGACTTAAACAAAAAAAATATTTAATAATAAAATATTAATTATTCTGTAATTAGCGTTTTGCAGTGCCTGTCATTAAAATTTTTCAATCGTTTCTCGTTAGTGGTCATTGATGTATGTGACTATTGTGAACACATATAAGAATAAATTATTTATCAGATCCGGGATTGTTGGTTTTACTATCCGGTCAATGGATTGTTTAAATTTATAATAATTTATTTAATACTTGACCGCTGCTACTATATAAGTGTGATATAAATATTACTTACTCATTGAATAATGAAATATTAAAATTTTAAATGTACAAAATGTTTGTTGTTTAAAACGTATTTGCTATCTAAATTTTTTTTTTCGAAAACATCTCTACCAAGTTGATTTGATTATTTTAGATTCTGAGTGGAACGATAAATGAATGTACTGATTTTACAATAATGTGTTTTTTAGTCCATCAACACGTTTTAATGCAATAAAAATTATTATCACTACCTACCTATATTTTTTTTTAGGATAAACAATAAAATAAGAAAAATTGTGAATATTTACATTAAATTAGTACCCATTCAACATTTGGAGTTAGAATTTTGATGAGATTACTTATTGTTATTTAAACGATCAATAACAATAACCGGGGTACCGCCAATAGGCATCTTCTCCTTTCCTGACCTATTCTTATACTTGTAAGTTGTATCTTTGTTATTATTATTTTTTTCTTATTCAATTAATGCTATAAATCTAGTTAGTCAAAATGATATATTAAGTAGTTTTAAATTATTTATTATATCACTTGGACACTTATTCACATATTTATGGGAATGAAAAATTAATTTAAACATGTTTTTGTACTTAATCATATTTGGCATGATGGCGACGATTTATGTACTATAAGAAAATTTGGTAGCGAGAGATAACAACAACATGAATAGGTAACGTAAGGAGAGTAGTCTACCAGTGTGGAAATTATCTGACCTGGGGTATAAAGAAATCTTTTTAGTTAATTAATGCAAGTAGGGATTCTAGAAATGTTGATACCAATGTATTTTTAATGGATGTGCAGAGTTATCTGGTATGAATTCATTGATTAATTGATTTAGTGTGAAATTTTTTTTAGTAGATTTTGGCTGTAATAGAGACTGTTTCAATTTTTAGGTCTTTATGCAATGAGAAATTTGAGATATAACATGGTACAGAATGCAGATGTTCTTTAATGAAGATAGATTGACTGGAAGGTCTGAATGTTTCTTTTTTGGGAAAGCTTGGCACATTCCTATATTTGGATATCACTTACCAGATGGCAGATGTGATTATTCAGCATCTGAAAAGCTCATAACAAATTTTTATGTAGTACTACTACAGTAGTAGTATTAGCTATCACTATCACCTACCCCAACGGCCCAACTCACCAGAGCATCATTTTATCACAAAAATTGGTGCTAATTCGGTATGCGCTCTACGGACAAATTTCTGTTTCGGTATGCACTCTCTACAGAAGTACAGACTAGTTTCTAGTTTGGCAAGTGCTGTACATACGTCGTTTTTATTTATTTTATTTTATTATTGGCTTCCATTCACGTTCTGGATGTCATCTAGCATGATGAGAAAAAGATCCTACCTGTCTTGAAGATAAAGTCGCCAGTAATAGTGATCAAGATGGGACTGCAAATGATTTAAAAGAACACCTTTCATTTTCTTTAATAATTTAATTTTTGCGTCCAAACACGACCTCTCGATGTTTTGAGTGTGAGCTCCTGTATTTGCATCGACATATGACATTTGGTAATTTACCGTCTTGTGTACAAAACCACGACTTGTGAGACACCTATATGCAGCTCATTCATCAAAATGAATTTCAGATCCTATTTCACATTCACGTTCTATTATCAGTAGAAGTATTTCTTAATTACGTCGATGAACATAAAAATAACGGAAATCGTTTCCATTTTTTGAACCAAATACTCCAAAAGCCATCTACTCGTACTCGTACACCATGATTTCGGTTATTAATAACCTCAGAATTTATATCTATCAAGAAGGGAGGAGCGTCTCCAGTTAATAATCTACCCCTATTGTACTTCCTCGGCTAGCGAAACGAGCTTTATCAATTTGAATTGGATTTTGTGCATTTCCAATACAAATATAAATACAAGTTCAATAATTTGACAAAGTGTTAACACACTATTGTAACGATGGTTCAAGTCAGTGAAATGAAGAAATCTGCTGCCAGCTCGTACCGATCTCATTGTCTATCAGCTTCGTTTTGGACACTGAAAAATGGTTATCCACTCTCCATTATCGAATTTCCATCGTTTTACTTGCATTTTTGTGTCCATTAAGGGGCGATGTCTTTGGCACTTTTTAACAATTCTTTTTCTACTAGAAACCGATGACACTCGATTTCATTTGCTACTAGTATAGTATAATATTATAAAACTCACAAAACATCATCATAGCCATCACAATTAACAAGTAATACACACAACAACAAAAAATAAAATATTATATTATATAAAAATAAAATATTTTATTCGTAATGATACTCGTGATTTCGTGAATATTATATAACGATTGTAATAAAACTTACAGTAGGTAATAGAATTTAAGGCAAAGACAATCAAAGATAAGATAATGAAGTCGAAAGAAAAACCCAACGTATCATATTATATAAAAACGAAGCAGATAGTCGTCCAATATTCCCGTACCAAACGTAGATCGAGTGTAGAACGGCAAAACCTGTAGAGCGCATGCCGAACTAGCACCCAAAAATGTATTTTATCTTTTATCCTAATCAATTTGAACTCCCTTTTTACTACTAATTATAAGCAATTTTTCAAGATTTTCTTGATATATGGTAATTCAAAGCCTGGTTTTTACCAATTACAAACTTGAAATGTCTAAATTCATTTAAATTACCTATAGCATTTGTGACATTTGAATTTTGAACCCTAGGATCAGTACCTACCACTAAATATATCATAGAATTCAAATTAAACACACATGCAGATGCAGACATCTGAATATTTGATATACAGCAGAGTGCAATATGTTAATATATACCTAAATTTGAACTTAGAATTTTTACAAAAATCATGAATATTAGAAAGCGATCACACTATATTCAATTTTGGTCGGAAACTACAAAATATTTTGATTTCATTCGACGTTCGACATATCTATTCGGCTGAATTATTTGAACGTAATTTAACCAAGACAATTATATTACATGTTATTATTATTTTCGTCTGAAATAGGATAGTCTGACCGCTACCAAACAAATTATAAGTATTTTTTACTAAATTAATCAAAATCATACATTTTTATAATTAACTAAGGTTTGAAAATGTAATACAATACTCTTCATATTATGTAGTTTACATAATAGTGATAATTGAATTATTCTACTTTCTTATACCTACATGAAATAAACCATGGTAACATTATTGCGTATCGCTCACTAAATATCTGCAATTCTGAAAATCACAGCGAAAAGTTTTTCCGAAAATTACTGTTCAGTTGTCACGGAGTAGTGGGAAATCGCCTAAATGTTCTTAGATTCATAATGTAGAAGCAATCAAAAAGCTACAACTGAAGAGACGTTGTAATCGTTGTATCACAAAATAAATAAATAAATAATATTCCGTAGTGTGGTTGTAAAGTAGGGGTCACCAAATGGCGGTCCCAAATAATTATGTTCTTAATGTTTATAAACAATAGCAAATAAATAATTACAATTTACAATCATTACATCTAATTTTAAAATAATACCTATTATATAGTTATATACGTGTATATGTATGCTATTCCTAATGCGGCTTTTCAAAACTAAATGGCAAAATGGCGACCCTTGCTTATGGGGAATATTAATCCATGTTGTATAGTATACCAACCAAGTATAATAAAGATAATATAATATATTATCGTAGTTCATGATAATTTGTCATGCCAAATCATATTTCATAGACTTATAATAAGTCTATGTGCCAATACTGGCATACTGCCAATCATGAACTAAGATAATCTTAGTTCATGGTGCCAATTGAACCATGATAACATAGAGTTATCATATAGAGTAAAGTTCAACGGTCATGCCAACTACCATTGATAAAATAATCAAATAATAAAATTATTTAATCAAAATGCAACTACCAAGATGTATTATCATTATACCTAGTTGCATATCTAGTCAATCAATATACCTAAAACATGTGTGACCATAATTCTTATCAGTTATTACAATACCGTTAATATTGAATAATGAATACTGAATACAAAATAGTAAATACCCATATTATAGTATATACCAGCGTTTCCCAAACTGTGGTCCACGGAGTGCGGACCACTAGATGCATAGAAAGGAATACCTTAGGCCTAGAGATCTGCACTTGTACTAGAGGGGGTCCGCGATTGTAAATTAAAAATACTATATTACATTATTTATTATTGTTTTTTATTTTTATTTAGGGAGTCCGCAATCATTTTTACTGTCTCTAAGGGGTCGGGCAAAGAAAAGGTTTGGGAAACGCTGGACTATAGAGTATATTAGGTATATTGGTTACTGGATGTGTAGTGTGTATTGTGTACCACTATATTATAATCAGTAATCACTATCTTCATAGTTCAACCGCCATTATTGGTCACCGCATGGTATCCGCCGTATCCGGTGTTCACATTGCTCTTAACTTACAAGTGAAGTCTTAATTCAGTTAATTGAAATTCAGAGCCCAGTGGTTTTTGAGTTTTTTGACTATAGTATTTCAAATTATAATTGATTTCTCCTGTTGTCTCATTGCATCATTATTATCCTTTAATTATTGTTTGTGAATTAATAATAATTAACAATACGAGACGTTTAATTGTATCACACTTTGTTATACGATATTACAACTATGCCTTTAATATTTTACTTTACGGCTATACCGCTTTTGAAGTTATAACTTATAAATCTACTTATACCTTGATATTTTACTATTAAGAGTTCTGACTTGGGATGAAATATTTTTCTTTATTTCTGGCTATGATCATATCGTTATAAATTATATTCATAGTGATGTATTCTTGATTTTATACCTCATTATTCCACGTGCCATTTTGATTAGTGAAACGCTAGCTGCTATATAGAAGACTGCCAAACTGGACGAAGTGACGATAATTGTGTGCTATGAAACTTAAAGTAATCGTGGAAGCTGTTTCAGAAATGTTCAGTTAACGTTTAATTGATTGATCACTATTGTTTTTAACGCTGAATAGTTATATATTGGATCATTTAAATAATTTGTAAGTTTAAAGACTATATATATATATATATATATATATATGTATTAATGAATATTAAATTACTACTCAAATATTTAAGTATAATATTAAATTAACTCTCCAATAGGCATTATATAGACATTTTGTTCATTTTTCATGTCATAGTTTAACTTTACTATTAGAATTTATCTATTTCAAAAGCAACTATTTGGTTTTAACCTTAGCCTTTAAAAAAAATAAAAAACAAAAAATAATGGTACATATTAGTTATTGCGACTTTCTATACAACTTAACAGTAAATTCAAATCCATTATTGCAAATATAAAGTTAATTATATTATTTTAAAATATTAGTTTTAAATTGTAGGTTACAGAATCATCTTGAAAAAATATAATTGAATGTTAATTTGTTTTTGTTTTAATATTAAAATTTTGATAATCGATTATTATCAAAACAATTTAAATGTTATGGCTTACGATATAAATCACTTGATTTTATTTTATTTTTTTACCTTTACATTATAGAGTATCATCTTTATGCTATACATTAGTTGCAGAATAAGTACATTACCTAATTTGTGTGTTATATTCTCATTTTATTTTTTTTTTTATTATATTAATACTTAAAAATGTTTATAATCTTTGTTAAGTTTCATGTGAAACTCATATGGGTTATATCAAAGGCAGTTACAGTTTTATCAATTGACTAAATTTTAAAATAAGGTATACTTGGTTTATATTTTATATTCTTAAAAAAATGATTTGTTATAAATTATAATGATGTCCTTCTATCCTATTTTAAAATCTTATTAACAATAAAAATGTTTTATAAAATAGATAAATTTCAAATAATCATGGCAGTAGATTTTAATGAAGTGAAAATTAATGTAAGAAGCTTGTTAACCAGTTCTCAAAAACCACTCAGTATTTTACAGCTTCAAAAAGATTACCGTGAACAAGAAGGATGCAACTTACCTTATAGAAGTTTAGGTTTTAGTTCAGTCATTGAATTGCTTCAAAATATGAATGATGTTTTAATTGTAAGAATGAAATTATAATTTTGATAATATATTATGATTTATGATAAAACCTCGATTATTCAAACTAATTGAGACCACATCTAGTTTGGATATGTGAAAGTTTGAATATTGGAAATTATTTTAATATATTGTGTACATATTACTATTATCATTATATTTGAATTTCATTATTTATTAATATATAATAACATTTGATACGTATTCATAGAATTCCTTTAACAAAAGTATTCATTTTCATTTGTAAGAATTTCCATTTTTAGGTTACGTTTAGGTTTATTAGACATTGTAGATATTTGACATTCGTAACATGTATAAATATTAAATGTGTACATGATTTGATACCAAATTAGATTGCCAAGTAAAGCAAGAGGACGTTGTTTATAATGTAAATTCATTAAATCTTTATTTTCTACAAAACATTTGTACTTTTATATGTGTGTGATGCGTAAAAATAATTAAGATAATGATAAAGTCAGTAAGTTGACCAATAATTTTGATGTTCAAATAATAGAATCTTTGGATATGCCAATTGTATTTTGGATATTATAAGGGTCACATGATGGAGGTTTAGATAATCGAGGTTGTACTATACTTTATAATTATTTTATTCACTGTAAAAATTGTAATTATTAATGTATACATTGTTTAAAATTTTTAGGTCCCTCCAAATCCAAATGAGTCATCCACATTATCTCTTATTGTTGATGATAAGACCAATCATTTAAGAATGCTTATTGTTAAACAAAAATCAAATACTAAAAAAAAGAAAGCTAAACCTAATATGAATAGACGATATGGATATCAAACAAGTTCTAATGGAAACAAAACTTTTTCTGGACATAGCTCTTATAATAAAACCAACAATTATGCAAGCAACATCTCTCAAAATAATAGAAATGGTTTTCATAGATACAATAATTCCTCTATGAGTCATAATCAATTAAATCAATCATCTTCATCAATAATTAAAAGTTATTCTAATTTGAATAGAAATGGTTTCAACCAAAATATAAATTCTAGTAATGGTTATGTAACAGATAAATTACGTTCTGACATAGAAAGATTCATACTTGAAAATCAAAAGGTAACTTTTTATACTGTAATAGTGTTAATTGTCAAATGATAGAGAAACAGTTATTTTTTAAATTAGATTTGGCTGCCTATTACATGGCATGTTAACTGATAAACTACAAACTTATAAGTTTTCTATTTTAGTATAAAAAAAATTATTATATGTGAAAGCTACACTGATTATATAAAACAGATAATTACTAAATATTATATTGGTGTAAATCAAGTTAATTTATATTCTATTCAAATTAAGAATTATACTTTGTATTTAACTTATGTAGAGTTTGCGTGTTAGCTTTATTATATAAATCTAGAAAAAACAAATAACATATAAATAAGAGGGAAAGAAGCAAATGAAAAAAATATATATACATGTATAAAAAAAAAACAATAGAGGTATAAAACACAAATTTAATGATCGAGTTGTAAAATAAAATTAATTGTATTGCTAAATAGTAACAGTTAAATTTAAAATTTAATACTAATAATTTGAATCTTATAGTGCGAGATAATATTTTGGTTGAATAATTGTTGCTAGAGTTTTGTTTTATCGGTAGGGACTTCAAATGTCAATTTTTAAGGTTCCAAATAGAAAAGTACTAATGCTTTATTAACTTAGAAAATCTGTTATTGAAATCCTTAGTTTGTTTATTTATACATTTGATGTTAAGTAATTTTATTTACTTTCATATACCTTCAAAATTTCAGATAGAAAAAAAAAGGTGGTACTATCTGCCTTTGAGTCATTATAATATAATTATGAAATTGAAATTTTTATTATAGTTCCACACTACTCATATTTGTCAATTGTTGTGCTTTAAAATTGTATTTGAATTATTTAATCGTAAATAATAAACATTATTTTCACTCTTTTAGTGATTTGTGGATTCAAATCGGTTGTCAATAAGAAGTCATGAGTTCCAATGCAAATAATAGTTAAAAAAAAAAAATTAATGACTAAAATAAAACATTTAGAGGGGAGAAAGAGGGCTAAGCTAATAAATAATCATGTATATTTTCATTGATAAAGTAAAAATATTTTGTATGGTATTTAATAAAAATCTTGACGTATTAAAAGGTTATTAAAAAGACATATGTGTCATTTGCTTTTTTTCTGTAACTTTTATTTAAATTGTTTTTTTCTCATTTCTTTACTATACTAATGGTTAACTCTGTAAAAGTGAATCAATTTACCTAACTTCATCTTGACAAACATCAGTCTGCTGCTACATGTGTTATTAATTTGAATAGAATATAGTTTATTATGATAATACATTATGAATTATAAGTTTTTGTAAATATTTTTATTTATAATAATTTTATTATATTATATGTTAGTATGTTGCAGTAAAATATAAAAATTAGTAGTATTTAGTATTAGAGATTTTGCATTTAGATATAGATATAATTAATAATGTATGCTAATTTTGGTTTCTATTAGGTTTTAATTTCTCACTATTATTATACTACATCTAGAAAAAAATAATTAATAGTTATATGTATATAAATGCAAAAATTAATTGAGTAAAAAATAAAAAATTCTACTTATATGTAATGGTATTTAGAGTTTAAAACTTAAAGTATAAATTACCACACATTACATTTTTTAGATTGTTAATAGGTTATGCCAGTGGCTCTTAACCTTTTGTAGATCATGGACTCCCTTATCAATTTTTTTCGAATACCTTTCTTTTACAATATATCATGTATGGACATATGTTATGTGTTAAAGCTGCACAGACTCCGGGTATGAGTATCACGGACCTTCTGGGGGCTGCGGACCACAGGTTAAGGACTGCTGGGTTATGCTATTTGAAATATAATATGTGAAAGAAATTATTTTTAGTTAAGTGTTTCAAAGTTTATGTTAACATGTGTTTTTTTCCAGCCAATATCTTTGTGTCAATTAGAAGAAATAGTAAAACAACATTCTGATTGTTCAATTTTGAAAATAAACTGTATGCAAGATTTAAAAAATCGATTTAAAGATTTTTTAAATATAAATGATACTAGTGTTTCTTTAAAAAATACACTACAATCTAAAACTAATATAGTTAGCTTACATCATAATACAGGTATTTATTAATTTTAATTATAAATAATTCTAATTACTATTTATAATCATCATTATTACATAATTAGTTATAAATAAGGCACAGATTTAAATGCTCTAAAAAACAAATAAAAATTTGTATGCTTTAAAAAAATTTGATTTAATACCATAATAATATATTCAAGTTTAATAAAATGCCCTTAAAAATAGTTTACTAGGCTATAAGGTATATAATACAATAATTAACACAACTGTAATACATATTATATTCTTAACAATTAAAAACCAATTACATCAAAAACAAAAAAAGATAAGGAATATAATTTTAAAATGTAAATAAGTTTAAATTTGTAAAAAGATAAATATTATTGAAAATGTTGTTTATTGTTATGGTTTTACTGCTGCCTTCCACATCTGTTTTAACATAGATAAAAATAACACATATTAAAAATAGGGATATAACCAAAATGAATACAGTAAAACCTTTTTATAACGGACCATACATTAGACGGAATCCTCCTTATAATGAAAATGTCAATAGTCTTGGTTCAAATTATATATTAAATTAACCTCTCTTAGATGGAACCAATACAAAACGAAAACAGTCCATTTTTGTGACCCAAATAGCAAAAATACTCTCTGTAAGATGGTTAATAAAATTATTTAAAGATAAAAAACATTTAATTTTATGATTATCTGAAATATCGCTCATTGGTAAAATAGCAATCTCATATTTAGAAAAATTACAAACATTTTCAGCCACAATTTCAAATTCAAATTTATTAGAACTAACAATAATAGCACAAAAAAAAAGTAATCAAATATTTTAAACTATTTTCTTAGTTATATAAAAAGTAACATATGTATACATTTTTTTTGAATTCTTAGTTTTAATTTTTTAGCTCATATAATGTATTATACACAATTATAATTTTTAAGTATAAATGTACATCTTATGTAATATTTATCTAAAATATAATTTTTTTTAACAGATTTGTATATTCTTGAAACTTGATTTTTTTTCTACCTCCCTATAATGGAAAAAAAAAATATTGGTCCTAAGCGATTCCATTATAAAGAGGTTTTACTGTATTTAACTTTTTTAAGGAATTCCATCTAAGTAGTTTTATCAAATTCTATGGATTATTTTAAAATAAATGAAAATTGATTAACTCAACAATGTCCTATAAATACCAAAAAATGCTCTAAAAATCAAAAAGTTAAAAAATATGAATTTAAAGATAAATTTTAAATTTGTTGATGTATGAAACAAATATACTTGGAAAACAATGTTTTAGATCATAATAAAAAATGCAATTTCCATTTTTATCCAAGCCTAGGTTATTAGTAGGGCCCAGATTTATATGCTCTAAAAACCTCAAAAATATGCACTATAAAATATGCATTTATGCTTTTATTTTATAGAAATATAAATATCTTATAAAATAACAAAATCGATTAAAAAAGTCTTTTATTTTCATTAAATATAAATAAATAAAAGTTATGCGTACTCAGATCACGATAAACATGACTTATGTATGATTCACTAAAACTTATTCAATTAAAGATTATTACTTGTCCTGATAGGTCTCAGATAAGATAAGAAAATGATTTCACCAAATTACATGGACCTTAAATATAACTATACGTTATTTTAATTAAAATAAGCAAAATATTACATATTATGCTTTAAAAACCATATATATGCAATCAAAAATCATAAATGCAGAAATATACAGTACATGTCAAAATATGCAAAATAAAACTACATTTCGGATCTATTGACTACAAATCAAACTTGAAGCTTACTTAGCTATTTTTTGGAGTGTTCAGAAAAAACATACAAATGCATATAAATCTAGGCCCTAGTTATTAGTATTAAATATATTTGTTTAATGTTTTGGAAATCATAGTGAATATTTTGTTTTAATGTACATGTAATGTCGATATTTTAATTTTTTTTTTTTTAATATTTTTTAAAAACTTATTTGTATATTAAACCTATCATTTTAATTATAATGGGTATGGAAATGTAGTGTCACATTAATATTTTTTTAGGATTTGATTCAGATCATCAATATTAATTGTTTTATGTAATTTAACATAGGTTCAACTATAAAACAAAAGTATTTATAAATATAAGGTGTGGCAAAACTCTCCCTAGTTTCAGCATAGCATTATATGATTATCAGAGGTTATAGAATGGTGAGTAGCGTGTTAGTTCCTGGGAATGGAAAGCTTATCTCACAACAGATTTTTGTCATAATATTGGCGTAGACTAATCAGCAATGCAGTTTTGTTGTGGAAATCATTATTTGTATCTACAAATTTATAGCTGCTGTCCTGTGCCCATTCTGTACTCGATTTATAATTTTTCATTGTCAAGCAGTTCCAAATCAAAAATCAATTAAGATGATAGCATAAAATTAAAAAAAAAAAAAACTATCTGTTATTAAAATTGGAGGTGGATAGGTGGACTAGGGAAGGTATATTGCTGCATACTATATTTCATACTTTAAAACTTATATATTTTAACGTGTAAATAAATAATATTTGTATTCATAGTTATTTTAATATTAAATGCATGTAATATATTACTATATATTAAATTAATTAATTTTAATTTACAGATGTTCAAATTAAACCTTTAAGACCATTTGATTTTAATAAATTCTCAAATAATAATACACTACCTAGTTTTTCATCTATAAATCATGATAATGACAAAGATGAAAATGTTATAAATTCAAAAGAATATGATGGTAATAAGCAAAATACAGTGTCTGATTCGTATAGACGGTTAACAGATAATGGATTAGAAGCAAATATACCTCATGATAAAAATCAAAGTCATAATTATGGAAAGAATAATAAATTAAATAGATCAATTGAATCTTCGATTGATTATATAGATATATGTAAAAATCAAAATAAGATTAAAGCACTTGAAGTTGGTTTTTATAATAAAAAAAAAAACTCTGATTTTGCTGAAATTAGTTTAAGAAAAAATATTGAATATGTAAAAAAACTATCAGAAAATAAAAAAAATAAAAAAGTTGATACAGAACTTGTAAATGGAAAGAAATCTGAATCTTGTTTTATTACTGTAAGTATAAAATGTAGTAAGACATATAAGACATACTTCATCAGTTTATTCTGAATAAAAATAATATTAAAAAAAGCTAAAGAATGTATATATTTTTAATGTCGTTAACCAAATTATTCTTTATATCAAACCTTTATATTAAAAGTATTTAACAATTTTATTATTGATTCAAACAAAAATAATTTTGTTTTTTTTTTTTTAATGATTTTTAATTTTAAGTCTGAATGAACTGTATGCTTATATAAAGAAAATATAAAATATAGATAAATAGATATATAGATTATTATTATATCTTATTATAATAATATTATATATAATATAATATATATGAAGAGAGAAGTATTAGTTCATTTTTTTTTTTTTTGTGTAGTATTTTACAAAACTTTAATTTAGTGTTGAATTGTTTTTCATTTTTCCATAATTGAAGGAGAATTAGAATTAACTAAGATTTAGAAATTAGAAATTTTTAATTCATTAATTTAAAATTTTTTCCTTCAGTATTAATAATTTCTTAGTATTTTTTATTTGCTTCAATGTTTTAATGAATTATTATGGTTACTATTGTTATTAGTTATTTTAATGTAATAATGTTTTTTAATAATTCTGCCAAATAAAAAATTTAAATATTTTCAGATAAATGGTGAAAATTCTCTAAATAATTCAAATTTATTTTTGCATTCTACTCCAAAAAAAAATAATAATGGTAAGTAGTTATTTTACTTATTTATTTAAATTTTTAAGTATTTTTTAAGTTTTAAATCCATTTCAGTACAAGAAAAGTAGCTATATCATTTTTTTTTTTTTTTTTAACTTTTGAGTTTAAAAATTGTTTAATATGCACAAGTTTAGATCATGATTACATTAGCACATACAAAACATTCTTCCACTTTGTCTCTTGCTATAGTAGTTGGTGTATGAGAGTTAAGAGAGAACTAATCAATAGCTAGTTTGTTGCAAAAAATACTAAATTATCAGTCTTCCCGTCACAATTATAATTTGTGTGGAGTATGTGTTTTTCTATTCATCTTGTTTATCAAAGATCAAGGTGAATCCTCGACAAGTCAAAAAACTAAATTTGTTATTTAGCAAATTGATTTTGTTGCATTTGTTTTTAATTTTTCAAACAGAGAATTATGTTTGATTATAAATTTCATACTATGATAATTTGGTAAAATAAATTATAGTATCAATTGTGAATAGTTATTTATTTCATTAATTATAAATATTTAAAGCTATTAGTATTCATATTAGTGATTATGTGCTACGCACTACTATTTTCATAATTAAATTAAGGGGTTGTTTAAATATTAATTTATTTAAATTATTTAAAAGTTATTTTTTAATTTGTTAGTTTGTTTTTTAGATTAATTAAATTTTATCTTATTTTACATAATGCATTGTTATAAAAATGGATTATTTTTGTGTAATCTTAGTTACCATACGTGTTTTAATAAGTGAAAAGTACTCATAACGAGCTAGCATTTTGTTCCTTAAAGAAATAGTTTTTTTATTTATTCTTAATACATAATATAAATACAAGAAAAAAAATTAAAAAGTAATAAATAATGTATAATTTTTTTGATACTTATTTTTTTATGAATAATATTTAACATTTTAATTTATTTAACTTTCAAACATAGATAAAATAATATTGAATGTAGACCAATGTATTCCCGAAGAAGTAAGGTTAAATATTGCAAGAATATTCAAAGTGTACTGTAATGGTTTGAATATTGAGAATTTTAAATTCATTTATTCTGTAAGTGTATATTTTAACAAAACTTTAATATTTTATTAGTTTGTATTTTGTTAATATAAATTTATGTTGAATTTTCAGAAATTGTACTGTACTGTTCTTGATCCAACTTATTTTGGTTTTACATCAATTAAACAATTGTTAAAAGAATTAGATCAAATGATTGAAATACGTAATAATATACTATATTCGAAAAATGAACTTATACTGTGTGAAAATATAGATTTTAAAAATAAAAACGTAAATACACAAGTTTGATTGAATATTATTAAAATTTAGAATATATAAAACAGAGGACGTAATAATCACATTTGTTCTTTTTGTTTTACACATACACTTTTTTTTTTATTATGATTTAGATTTACCTATAATAAAACTTCTGGTCAAAAATGTTGCTTAGAAATATATTCCAGCATGAGTTTTTTTTTTAATTTTAAAAATTGTAATGATTCACAATTTTAATAGTTTTATTTAATAAAAAAAAAAATCAACTGGGGATTTGATTTATGACTTACATAGTTCTATAAATATACTTATTGTACTCGGATCTGTTAATTCACTAAATAAAAAACGGTATTATTTTAATGGTATGGTTTCTTGAGTTCATTTACCTATTTTTCCTTGTTAGGTTTGTGTAAGGCAGAAGAATATTGTGGGTGATCTGAATATATTTTCCTTCAACTAAATGATTTAATATTTTCAGGATTTTATATTAACGTGCATTTGTTTAAGTAACGGAATAGAAATTTCTACAATTATAGAACAGCCAATATTGTCTTTCAATAAGAACAATTTAAAAAAAATGCTGTTGGTTGAAACATATAATCCAAGTTTATTTTATTTACAATTATGTAATGAGGTTGATGAATTTAATCGTTTAATGATGCGAATGCAGTAAATATATAAAATAATAGTGATCATTTACTATTTTATTTATCTTATAATGTTTTTCAGAAATTGTTATGAAACTGAAAATAAAAACTATCTTGTCAAACTAAATCAAATTTTACTAGGTTCATTTTATGCATCTTCCTATACTTCATTTTCAAATACAAAACAGTGGTATAGAGTTAGAGTTATAAGAGAAATTAATCCAACCACTGTTGAGGTAAGTGTTTAATTAGAAAAAAAAATATAATAATTACTTAAAATATTTATGTTGTGAACTATATTTATTAGGTTATTCATGTGGACTATGGAACTGTTGATAATATACCTAAGACTGAATTACGATTTTTGAAAAGTGAATTTTGTAATTTACCATGTCAAGCGATTCATTGTTGTTTGACTGGTTATAATGAACTTGATACAATTGCATCTGAAGTTACAAACGCATTTTTAGAAATCATAAATATTAATAAGGAGGTTTTGGTTATAGTTGATGATCATTTTATATTGGTAAATTTTATATATTTATTTACAATAATATGATATTATTAAGTTTCTATGCAGAACACGTATAGGCGTGCTGAATGCACACAGGTGCTGTATGGTGTATGCTTGGTACAGTTGATTGGCCTGAAGGGCTGTTATTTATGATGGGCTATAGGGTTGCTAGCACTATGAATTATGATGGCAACAATTTTAATTAGAAAAGAGTAGTTATATTTCAATATTAAACATACTAATATTTTTTTTTAATACTATTTAATATCCTATTTTCTACAAAAAATGAAATAAATGAAATAATTTTTATAGCACGTTGTGTATAAATTACAATAAAGCATAAAAGTTAGAAATAGATAAAAAAAAGAATCTATTAATTGAAATTGTATTGAACCAATGAATTAATAAATAAGAGTCTTAAGAAATCCACAATATACAGAACTATTCTTTTATTAAATAACACTCATTATATAAAAATGTATTAGTCTTTAAAAAATAACATTATTTTTTAAATATTTTTTATTGTTATATATTTTTTAAGTTTTTACTTTTTAAATGATAATATACATTTTTAGTTTCGTATTCTGAAACAGAATATTGTTTGGAGTATTCAGGTACATACAAAGTTTAGTTTGATAGCTTTTGAGTTATAAGTATTTTAAGTTTAGGCAAATGAAGTAGTAGACTATCATTTTACGGTGTTTTCCCACATCTCGCTATTTTGTTTTTATAAATTTTAAATACTTATAATTATTTGTCCTAATTTTCTATTTTATGCATCATAGTACTCCATAAAATATCCTTTTTTGGGAATATGAAATTATAAATGTTTGATGTCATTAAATAAAGTAAAAATTTAAAAAAATATACAAAACCTAATCATCATTCAATTTGTTTATAAGTAAACAATAAAATTATATTTTTAATTTATTGGATATACAACAACTACATAGATATATTCCATCATATAATTTGTATTTTTTTATTGAAAAAAATATTGTAATTATTTTGTCTTTAAATCCATAGTCAATCAATAATCATAGTTTTATTCATGGTATTAAATCAGTGAAATATACCCAAGATTAATAAGATCAATGAAAAATATTAACATAGTTTTACTATGAAATATAATATTTATCATATACTTTTACATTAAGATTTTAAATTATACTTAAATGGTTGGTCCTGTATACTGTTTGTATGAGGAAATGTTTGCTGCACCTGATTTAAAATTGTCCACACTTAAAATTAGATACCAGTCATAAAATACATATTATAACTAATCATTACTAATTATTTAATATTAATTATAATTGTTTATATTTAGAATAATCAGTGCCAAATCTTGCATGTCACCTTATTCCAAAACAAATCAAATGATTCAAAAAAACTAGAAAATATTAATAATGAGTTGTAAGTACCCATTTAAGTTTTTAAGTATATTACACAAATTTGATTACTATGGATAAATTAAATCAATTTATTTTAATAATTTATTTTAAAGCGTGTTCTTAGAGATATTGAATAACTAAAGATGCTAAATAACCCTCTATACTACCGCTTTCCAACTGAGGTAGCGTGGCCGAGCGGTCTAAGGCGCTGGTTTAAGGCACCAGTCTCTTCGGAGGCGTGGGTTCGAATCCCACCGCTGCCACACTATATTTTTAGATCGTTTTTGTTTTTTCGTTTTATTTTATTTTTGAAATTAACATCTAATCATGTTATATTTTATTCTAGTTAGGTCAGACTTTATTCACTTTGTTTTTTAATAATCGAATAGAAACTCGCACCGTCTTTTATTTAACAAACAACGATTGTTATTATAACGTAACAATAATTAAAAGTATTTAAAGTACAACAAAAATGTCCCATATAATCTTCTAATTCTATATAATGAAAATAATGAGTACATTGTTATAAATGTATAACTTTTTATTAAAAAAAATTATCGTTGTAATTTTAAGAATTAGTAATACAAATTTTCAATAAATTATAAAAATTATACTTATAGTTAATCAATTCTATAGTGGATGGTATGTTATATAATCTTAGTGTAATATACTGTAGTTCATTAGTTATTACTTATTAGTTATTAATATTTTTATTATTCAGTATTTTTCCCCGAAAATCAACATTTAACGTTGGTTCTGGTGTGTTTAGGTGCACAAAATCAAAATATTGGCCTCGTTAATATTATTATAGTTTTAAACTGTTACACTTAAGTTTTGTTGATATTTTGGTTAACTACGCTGAATCTTGGTACGCATATGAAATTAAAACTTCTGATAAAAGAAGGGCTTGATTTTAAGAAAAATAATTATTTAAAAACCCCCCAAAAAAATATCCCACAACATTCATTTCAGAACGGCAGCAGTCCCTAAAAAAAGTGTAATACATACTTAACGTTTACTCTGGCATTGACTTAAAGCGTTCGATTGACTAGGTATCAGAAAAAATAAACGAAACTGGTATAAAAAATAGTTAAATAATAATCCTATTAATTGTATATTATCGGTATGCTTATGACGCGTCTTGACGGTAATAATCTTGTGTCTAATATATTAATCAAATAAATCTTTTTTAATTTTAGTGATTTTTATATTTTAACGAATTTAATGTTTTTTCACAGAACTATATGGCATTTGAAACGTTAAGAATTATACATTTACAAGACAACTTTTATTGAACAGGACAATATATGATGCTACTGTAAGTTATTCATAAGTTATTCAATCTTCCGCAGTTATCTAGATGATTATATTATTCAACTTATTTGTTATAAGTATCTAATTTTATTTAATTACTTTTTTAGTTTTTGTTTTATTTCATCTTACTACTTTTTAAGGTTTTTTAAAGTTGTTGATTTTTGTCTGTATTTTATTTATTTGTTTTTTTAAGCTTTTAACGACTTAACTTGCAGTGGTATTTTAGTTGACAAATGTTTAGTGTGGTTACTTTTTTTTATATATATTTATAAATTATTACCACGCATAAATATCTGTATGCGGTACATATATCGAAAAAAACAAAATAAGGGACCCGTTTTATACTTTTTAAAAACGTAAAAAAATATAGCGGGCCCCACCCTTTCATTTACGTGTACTTATAATAATTCTCTCTCTATTCTCAAAAACTTACTATTGTTTATTATATTATTATTTTATCGTTGTATATACTGTATCTACATAATATTTATTCGCAACGTCTGCTCGTTTCTATAGCTATTGTTTGTTCGAGATTTATGTTTACGAAAAATAATACAATAACATTCGCAATGTTTTTAAAAATAAAAAGATTAGCATACAGTAAAATCGAATTTTCTTGGGTGAGTTTATATAACTAATATACTATATTGTACTGTCTCCATATGCATGCGGCATGTTAAAATATTATGTGCATTTTGTTGCTGAACATTATGTACCTGCTATTCCGTTCGATTATAAACTATCATAATATTTGCAATTATTTTGTTCGAGATTGCCATAAATCGTAATCACAAAATTTATTAATGTGAATGTGTTATTCATGTACTGCAACGACGTTATAATATTACTATTATTTTTATTAAATTGTACATAATATAATACTCGTGTTTCAGTATTGACCATATTACTATTATAAATACTGTTACTGTTGAACGGTTAACTTTATATTATTGTTTACAAAATATGACATCAAATTATTTCTGACGTTATTTGAACTAATATTTAATGATCGTATATATCAATATACTAAATGTATTTTTTTCTTAAATATTGTTTTTTGCAAATCATTGTAAAGTATAATATTTACATTGTATTTTTTTTTCATTGTATACTATCTATAATATATAATTATAACCGGTTATTTTATGCGTAAGTTTTTAAGTCATAGAAATTAAACTCGTAACAAGTGAATAAAAAATAATAGTTTCGATGGCATTTTTAGTTTTTCCATTGTATTAAGCATATCATTTAAAAAAAAATTGATTTGATTTTCTTTCGCTGGGTAGTATTTCTGTTTTTACGATTTTTATGTAGGGGTTTCTGCACCATTGTTTCCGGTGTTTCGAGACGAATCTTCGGGAACATTATTCTACCGTGTTCCATTATATTATGGATTATATAAACCCAAGTATCAAAGATCTTGGTTACATGACATCCTAATCTCCTGGACATTATTAATTATTGTTACTCATGTAATATATACTCATGAATGTTATGTATTAAGATAAATGTTTATTTTTGAATAAAATATGTTCTATTTTACCTAACGCAATCATGTTATAATTTAACTTAACCTGAGAATCATAATAGATTTTTATGTTATTCTTACGAATAAACTATTTTGCCCAAACTCCTTAGCTTCAATTCAGCTACGCCACTAGTTATAAGAATTTAACGTTTGTACCGACGGAGTGTATAGTGAATTTATATTTTGAAGAGCGCCTAAAGTGTCACTTCATTTCATTCATTTAAAATACTTCAAATATTTATAACTAATATATTAACTACACACACAAATTATTAGAATTATATTTTGTGAGGGAATATTAAAATTAAAGATCTGTCAAAAAGGTCGTTCAAAATCACGTTATAGAAAACTTAAAAATATAATTTTTTCAGATGTATATTGTTTTGTGACAAACTCGAATAGTGTAAAAACATATGTAATAAAAGTTAATACTTTTCGAAGTAATGAGGGTTTCCTGTTGAAAGAACCGTTCGGCATAATAATATAGTAATAATAACGTGTGTCGAGCACGCAAATTAAGCATATGGGCGCAATAAGAGTATAATATGTAATTGTATACATGTATCCTATTATTCGGCTATTCATTTAAACGCAGTCAGTATTTTATTTTTATTTTTGGCTTGACGTGGGTATTCGTTGTTTTTATTATTACTGTTGTTGTATTTTAGCTCAACGCCGTACCCATCGTGTGCGCACCACACGGAACGTAGGTACACATTGTACTATATTATAATAAGGACCGCCGCGTGATGCGAACACAATGCCGGTAAATTATGATCACCGCGTCTTGGACGGGTTTCCTTTAAATTCGCACGGATAACATAATATTTATGCATTCTCCATTTGTGTATTTGTGCGTGTATTATACACGTGGTGTAACATTATGGACATTAAACCTACCTCATCTCGTTAATGGTCAGGTATGTATGTCACAGTCAATGTGCCCGCTGTTGGACGCGCTCGAGACTCGCCTCCTCGCGTACACGCCAATACTATCCGCTACACGATAATGTATTTGAGCTGCGAATGTGACGCCTATCCATATCGCGTGGGCGTCGCGTGTGTGTGTAAACGTATACAATTACAATAATTTACGTGCGATTTTAATTTGAATTCGGCGTTCATAGACCGATTGCCGAAAAGTACATGGATTTTTTTTCTTTCTATTATACCTAAGTAATTATTATTACTATCGTGTGTAGGCAAGTATGATTCCGGCATGTAGTATAATGAGGGTCGCACGCGCTTTGAACGCATAATATAACGTGATGTACGCACCGCCGCGAGTTAGGTTAAGATATACTGGGCTACTCCTCAAGTTTAAGTTTTGGGCTCATGTTATCCTATTTATAGCCTATATGTTATCAATAATAATATTATATATCGATCGGATTCTAATAAGAAATCAAAAATAAAAATTACGATCTTATTAATTTATTTGTTGATTTAATAAAAATTTGTAAAAAGTTATGTAAAATAAGTAGATATTTAATTACTTAAAAACTTAATAGCATATATTTTAGATTCTTTTTATTTTCAATTATGTTTTAAGTATGCTTCAAAAGTTCAGTTGCAAAACTCATCAAAATTAAGTAGGATAGTTGTGTAATTGATATATTCGGCAGGTATGTGCGTTCCAAGTAGTTATTTTTAAGGACTATGTAAAAATATATTGTTCTTTAAATAACTCATCTGACTGTGATTGGTAAACAAATTATTGTCAGTAGGGCGAGCGCTAATTTTAATATTTTCTGGGCAGTTATTAAAATGTATTAATTGTCCAGTCCGCCCTACAATCCCTGTTTTATGAAAACATCACAGTTGTCACTCTGGGCGATTGTAAACTCTCCCGGGTCTAGTAAAAATCATAAAATACATTTAATATACATTTAAGTTGCGTTTAAAAATAGTCAATCATATATAATAATAATAATAACAATATAAATTAATGTTTTTAGCTGCTATGAACATGATATAGTTAAAATACAATAAAAAATAAAATTTCAAAAAATCCAATATACATTTAAGTTTCCTTTAAAAATAGTCATTAATAATAATAATATCAATAATATAAGTTACAAATACAAAATATACGTAAAAATGTTAAAATCATTGTTTTTGATAAGAACATACAGATACGTAACTCGTAGTGTAGCAATAAAATTTAAAACAACTCGGGAGAGCTTACATACTTCCTACAGGTAACTATAAAGTTGACCGGGAGAGTTTACACATTTACTTCAGGTAAACATAATATTAACCCGGGAGAGTTTACTATTTTTAAAAATCGGGAGAGTTTACCATAAAATCGGGAGAGTTTACCACCGCCCGTCACTCTAACAGCTAAATCAAATTGAATACATACATTATAGATGATTCACTTTTTAACCAATGATCGGTTATGCCAACTATGTTCTTGGGCAGTTTTTGTAATATTAAAAAACAGATAATGAGGTGTACCTATTGATTTTATAATAAATCAATATTTTTAACCTATAATATAAATTTGTATTTCAAAGCAGTATAATTTTTTTTTGGTTTGTTGAAATACTCTAAAACATCGAATTATATTAGGTAACAAATACTTTTTGTTAATGAAAATATGAAAATTGTAAGTCCAGTTCAGCAGAGTAAGATGGCAGAGCTAATAGGTATACGGGTATCCTCCATAATTTATTTGTGATACGCGTGATCTATCAATGTGATGCAGTGGAATTAAATTTGCGGTAATCAGTAGGTAAACTTACGAGTGGCTACGGTCTATCTATATTAAATTAATGCGACTTAGTATTTACAACATCAGGTGCAGCCAAATGACCAATCACGGAGATTTTAAAGTCGATCATGTTAAATTTATTTTTAGTAAATTTTATCAAATATCCAGCGTTGGGAAGACTCGATAACCGACGATATAACCTATTTGTATACAAAACGGCTTTTTTTCACAAGAAAATTATTAAATCTGAACGCCAAATTAAATTTTCTATAACCATTTAGAGTAGTGTCTTCATTTAGTACACAGCAACTATTCTTTAGATATGATTAACTTTTAAATTATATGCAATCATTGGCGATGTGAAGACAGTTTTTTCGGTGTTGAGATTTAAGTTGGTGAATGAGTGATTATTAGTATGGAGTACTAATAGTAGTGTAAATCAGAATAGTGCTAATGAACGATTTAGATATTCATAAATGTACATTTTAAAGAAGGGAAGATTATTTATACAGGCTATCTTTTAGTTTGCTGGGTTGGTTGTTGGGTGAAATAAAATACTTCGCACTGCCATTATGTGTAATATCACTCTTCAACGTCAATAAAATAATATATAAACTATTTAATTTTTATTTAGATTTTATAAATTAATTGTAAAATATATTTTAATTTTATTATTTATACAAGTATGTTTGTTAATAATTATAGGTAAAAGCTAAAAGGTACTTAACATGCTACTGCTACTGTATACTTAAATGAAACCAATAAATAACCATTTTTTAGGTATCATTGACTTAACACTTATTTCGAATCAACCATTGAAGCAACAGAAAGTAA